TATAAAACACCTTCATGATAAAACAGTAAGATATGTTCACTAGAATTGATTTATGTGTTTTTGAATACAGTATAATAAAATTATTATTAAAGTTTATATTACATATGAGCGTTTGATCATTTATTCGAATATTGTTCCATCGAATAGGTGTTTGCCTAATACTGTTTTTATTGCCAGTTGTGGCTAGAAATATAATGCAAAAATATAATAATGTCTTCCACATACCTACATAACAATCAAACAGAGTACTTCAACTACAAAGAGAAGAAAATCAATTATTCTACCATCTTAATCGTTATTGTTTTAGTGGGTATAGTTCAATAGAGTATAACTATATTTTAAAATAGTAAAATTATTTTTTTACATTGACCTACACTAATTCAAAAAAATAATACGCATTGACAACATAAAGTAATGCAGTGAAATATTGAATTACAAATGGACAAAAAAATAAAATAAATAGACAAAACTGTTCATAATAATAATATAAATTGAAAGTTAACAAAATTTAGGATATTAATCTGCTCATAATAAAATTGAAAGTTAACAGATTTAAAATATATAATTCGCACGAAGCGCCAAAAATGAATCTAGTTACCTTAACGATACATCACATCATTAGTTATATTTATCTTAACAATATCTTAAATCATTAGTTATATTACCATAAATAATAGTACAGATTTTTATTTATTAGTTAATAATCGTTAACTTTCTTTAAAATATAAAATGAAAAATGTAAAATAACCAGATTTTGCATATCATTAATAGTTCGGTTTAATTTGTTTTACTAAAATTTTCTTTTATCTTAAATCCAATCGGTGAAAATTTATGTTACCAAATACATAATTCAAATACATAGTTTATGTGTACAAATAATAACTTAAATCAAAATAATTAAAATGTAGACATTTATTCTTGTTTAATTTTTCACTCCATATTAACTATTTTACTAAATAAGAAAAATTCTTTCTACTTCCTTTATTTTAGTCAAACATATCAATTTTTTTAATTAATTTGCTTATATAATCAGTTAGGTATGGATATCCGGGTACTCATAGAAGTACAAGTTGTTTTTTTAAATTCATTTTTGGGTTTTGAAATTAGGTCCTTCTTGGATATTATAAATTTATGTGTGGGTTTTGAGTTGGTCCTTCAGGGTCTAAATGATTTTGATTTTGATGTGTAGGAATATAAAAATATTTAAATAACCAATGTATCTGAAATGAGTTCAGATATTTGTACCAAAAATAAGCTTATTACCCGTTTCATTATGGATCTTTTGAATACAATTAGTTATAGAATGACACATCTAATATATAAATAATACTAATCATTAAAACAAATATAGATGTATAAAAGCATAAAAATCAATATTCGTGTGGACGTGTGGGTCAAGTTCTAATTATTGATTATATTACAAGTAATCAATTTTGAAATATTATTGAGAGAACATCTTTATAGGCATAAAAATAGTATATACCAAAATAATCAATTTTATATTAATGATCCTTTTTATTTATTTGATACTGTTTATACGTGGTACAGTTTAGTATTTTGACCAAAAAGATAAGAAAATATATACACTTTTGGGTTCACTTAGTGGCATGCACAGAACTATACATGTCTCAAACAAAATTAGTAAATGAAAACTTCTAATTATTAAACATTAATAAGTAATTTAAACCCATAAATGGACCTATTGTTCTTACCTAAACCTGCAAGAAACCACAAGCTAATTATTTTCTTAATCCTAATTAGTAGTTTAGCCAATGGCGATGGACAACGAAATAACTAAGAAATGATGAGTCACCAACAAAAGATTATTTACAGACTGTAGACAACAAGAGCCTTAAGTAGAAAAGTAGCTAAACTATCTGATGAGAGAGACAAAGTCCTTTTAGTTTTTGTTGACTCCTAGGCTGAAAAATCTTCTTTTGTCTTTATTTCCATTTATTACTTCTTCTTCTACACCATCTCTCTCTCTCTCTCATCTCGCAGATCTAAAGAAACATAGAGATCAAGACAAAACGATGAGAAAGGGAGATTTAACTCCTGACAGAGATCGTGTGACTGAGGAACATGAGTTGCAAGAAACTCGGTTTAATCCTGAAGCAGAGAGGAGCAAGAATGTTAGACAATACCAAAGAGAAGATGAAGAAGATGAAGAAGAAGAAGAAGAGGAAGGAGAAGAATCTGTGGAGGGAATATTCGAGAGCAGAGAGGTTCCTTCGTGGGAGAAGCAGTTAACGGTTAGAGCTTTTGTGGTTAGCTTGGCGTTAAGCATCTTGTTTAGCTTCATTGTGATGAAGCTTAACCTCACAACAGGGATCATCCCTTCTCTTAACGTCTCTGCTGGTCTTTTGGGGTTCTTCTTCGTCAAGACGTGGACCCAGATGCTTCATAAATCTGGTCTTTTGAAACAACCTTTTACAAGACAAGAGAACACAGTTATTCAGACTTGTGTTGTTGCTTCCTCAGGCATTGCCTTTAGCGGTAATACAAACAAAATAAACTCAAGAATCTCAAAACTTTTGGATCAAGATTCGTCTTGTTTTCTTGATTTCTGACTTTTTTTCATAAAACGACAAAACCTTCGAGTCTTTATCACACATAATTCACCTGCTCTTACTTTTTTTATCTGTTAATTAAATTAAATTAAATTTCAACAGGAGGATTTGGGACTTACCTATTTGCAATGAGTGAACGAATAGCTAACCATTCAGGAGATGCTGCTCGTGGCGTTAAGGACCCTTCTTTGGGTTGGATCATAGCTTTTCTCTTTGTTGTCAGCTTTCTTGGTCTTTTCTCTGTTGTCCCTCTCCGAAAGGTTTGGTTTCTCTTATATGTAGACCCCAAAAACAGACATTAAGCAGCTGGTGGAAACTTACACAGTTGCAAATCTTTTTGTAGATAATGATAATAGACTTCAAACTAACATACCCAAGTGGCACTGCAACTGCTCATCTTATCAACAGCTTTCATACTCCTCAAGGAGCAAAGCTAGCCAAGTATGATACTTACACATCTTGCTTACTAGTTTTATTGAGTTCTCTGCTTATTGATTTGTGCTCTGTGTAATCAGGAAACAAGTGAGAGTGTTGGGGAAGTTCTTCTCCTTGAGCTTCTTTTGGGGTTGCTTCCAATGGTTCTTTACTGCAGGTGAAAACTGTGGGTTTCACAGTTTCCCTACCTTTGGACTCAGAGCATACCAGTACAAGTAAGTATTATGATATTAACTGGCTCATGAACTGGTTTGTTGTCTTGTCTTTGGCTCATAAGCTGGTTTTATTATCTGGACAGGTTCTACTTTGATTTTTCAGCAACATATGTAGGTGTTGGTATGATATGCCCATACATAATCAACATATCTCTCCTTTTGGGTGGAATTCTCTCTTGGGGACTAATGTGGCCTCTCATTGAAACTAGAAAGGGAGATTGGTTCCCCTCTAATGTTGACTCTAGCAGCATGAACGGTCTCCAAGCTTACAAGGTAAAACAAGATACTCCCATCACTCACTTTTCTTTATGTGCCTGCCTCTTTTGCTGTAACAAGCCTACTTCTCTTTCCTCAGGTGTTCATAGCTGTTGCTATGATCCTAGGAGATGGTGTATACAACTTTTGCAAAGTGTTGAGCCGAACCCTTTCAGGACTGTTCAAGCAGATCCGAGGTGAAGCTAGTTGGAGAACCACTCTTTCACGCGAACAAGAGCCCCCTGCTTCTCCATTGACACCAAAGATATCTTATGATGACCAACGTAGAACAAGATTCTTCCTTAAAGACCAGATTCCTTCATGGTTTGCTGGTGGAGGGTATGTGCTTATAGCTGCAGTATCTATAGGTATACTACCTCAAATGTTCGATCAGCTGAGATGGTACTACATTCTGGTCATCTATGTCTTTGCCCCAATCTTAGCTTTCTGCAATGCTTATGGAGCGGGGCTCACTGACTGGTCACTAGCATCAACCTATGGAAAACTCGCCATATTTACAATCGGAGCATGGGCTGGTTCGGACCATGGAGGTGTTCTTGCAGGCTTAGCAGCTTGTGGAGTCATGATGAACATAGTATCAACAGCTTCAGACCTGACACAAGATTTCAAGACAGGTTACCTAACACTGTCATCTCCAAGGGCCATGTTTGTGAGCCAGGTGATTGGTACAGCAATAGGATGTCTGGTTTCTCCATGCGTGTTCTGGCTTTTCTACAAGGCCTTTGATGATCTCGGTCTCCCAAACAGCAAGTACCCTGCACCGTTTGCTACCGTGTACCGAAGCATGGCGAAACTTGGTGTTGAAGGTGTTTCATCTCTACCAAGAGACTGTCTTGTGCTGTGCTACGCGTTTTTCGGCTTTGCCATACTGATAAACGTAGTGAAAGATGGTATGGGGAACAGATGGGGAAGGTTTGTTCCACTTCCCATGGCAATGGCTATACCGTTTTTCTTAGGGCCTTACTTTGCAATTGACATGTGCGTGGGAAGTTTGATTCTGTTTGTCTGGGAGAGACTGGATGCTCCAAAGGCTGAAGCTTTTGCAACAGCAGTGGCTTCTGGTTTGATATGTGGTGATGGAATCTGGACGTTACCAAGCTCTGTGCTCGCTATAGCTGGAGTGCAACCTCCTATGTGCATGAAGTTCCTCTCATCTGAAACTAATCACAGAGTGGACAAGTTTCTGCAAGGATCCTCTTAGTGTTCTTTTTGAATTTGTTGAGTTGAAAAACAATGATAAAAGATATAATGCCTTCATTCGTATAGATAGATGAGCGACTGTTGTATCAAATTGAACAAACATGGTGTATACATAACTCGGGGAACACATACTATTAATAAGCTTGATGAAACCCATTATCACATTCCTCTTATTTCTGTAACATAATCATTAGTCTTGTAGCAATTTCTTCTCTTACACAACATAACTAAAAGAGCTAGAAACTGATCATTCTCACAGCAAAAGAAACAACAGACCTCTTTTGTCTTGTGGAAAATACAAAAGTTAGGCCTTTGATGATGATGTTTTCTTCTTTGAAGGACCAGCTGTTTTCTGCTCTGCTTTCTTGAATAGGTTGGCTACTGTAGCTTGAACGAGCTTACCGTCTTTGCTGTTTGATTTTTCCTTTTTTGCTGATGCAGTATTAATATCAGCTTGTGGTTCCTCATGAACTCTTGTTAAAGAATCAGATTCCAACACAGGTTTCTCATCCCCTTCATCAGACCCTTCATCAGATGTATTGCCTTCACTTTCAGCTGAGGAGTTTTCTGGAGAGGTTTCTGCAAAGCTGTGGAAATAGTTCAAATATAGGTTGTTAAACATGATACTACTTAGATAGCTTAACAAAGAAAACTAAAGATCTCACAAAAAAACAGAGAAGTCACAGAGAGGCAAATGTATAAAAAACAAATGATAGAGAGACACAGAAAACTAGACAGGCCTCATAGATATAGTTACAAATCAGATGAACAGCAAGTAATTCCCCTATAAGATATATCTAATAACTCATCAAAGTCCACTGCACATACTTTTATATCATCATCACTAAGCTATAAAGAGTTTGTGTTTAAGTAGAAAGGATGATTACTTGAACTTCTTGCCAGAATTTCTCTGAGACTGACGAACCGGAGTTACTTGCACCGGTGTCACCTGAATCTTATCGTCCATAAACTCTTCATCATCAGACAAAATCTCCTCCATTTCAACTTCAGGTGAGTCAGTCTCTGTCTCCGTTGGTTGGCTCCCAGTTTCCGGAGTCGCCTTGACCGAAGCTGCTGTTGCTGCTGCGCCTGCGCCACCTCGGAAATCAAACTCCTCAGTTTTCTCTGCCTGAAACCAAAAGAGTTCTCATATCTTTAATGAAACATCTAGCAAACAAACCAGAAGTGAGAAAATGCAAATGTAAGAAGAACCTGAGAGAGTTCTTTAGGGAAATCAAGGCGGGCTTCGTCAGGGTTGTCCTCTTTAGTCCCAATCCACCATGACTCAGAGAACACAATCTGTATATACATATCACCAAATGCTCTAACAAGATACAAACACAGAGAGAACAGTGAAGGTAAGTTACTAACCATGTTATCAAAATAGTCATCACACAATACGTTTTTGCCACCTCTAGAGAACTGCAGAGTCAAATATCTGTTCTTCGGATACAGAATCGTCCCAAAAAGCTTCATCCGACCCTAAAAAGAAGTTCCATAGATGAGTGGTGATTTTGAGGAAATTAGGGTTTTGAGGAGATGTGATTGAGAACCTGGGGGAAGTTGAGGTAGAGGACGGGGTTTTTGGTGGAGAGACGATCGAGATCGCCGATGGTGGCGCCGGAGATGGGGGCGAGGAGACCGGGGAAGGAGAAGAGGAAGCGGTTCTTGCGCTGCGACTTGCGGATGATGTCGGTGCCGTGGTGTTTCACGACTTGCTTCGATGGTTTGAGAGAGGAGATGCATCGGGAAGGAGAGGGGGAGAGGAGGTTGTTGTCGAGGGCTAGGGTTTTTAACCTCTTTCTCTGTTTTGATTCTGGATCGTCTTTGTCAACGGATCCTCCTTTCTTCGATGATGATGAAGCTCGGACCATTACTGCTACTACTTCTAAAAGCTTGTCTGTGTCTTCTTCTTCCTTTTCTAAATCCAATTTAAGCGTGTGTATGTGTGTTTACCGGGACCCGGAAACTTGAACCCGAACGATCCATTCCGATCCGCGGGTCCCATTTGGTTCTCATTTTTTTGTTTATTCAGATTTTAAAAAGTCAGATAATTCAGATTTTAAATTCGTGTCTGTTATAGAAGAGTTCATATTTGAATCAGTAACAAAATATCTACTCCATTAAAATATAATCCTAATTTTTATCTACTGTATATTATATACAAGTCTTAGTAGAACCATTTAATTAATTAATTAATTACTATAACAATTTATTATTACACTAATCAATCATGTTGAAAAGAAATATATTTAAATTTTATTTTTAGTTATAACAAATTCCGTTGGGAAAATCTAAAAAAATCTTACTAAAAATTGTATATATTTTTATGATAGTGCAATAAAAATAATTCGTAACTAAAAATATAACTAGAGATAGACCCGCACGCCCGTGCGGGTGTTAAATTTTAAAATATTTGTAAACTAATATTTTATTTTTATAATTAGTGTTACATATTTTATAAATATTATCAATAAATAATTAAATATTTCTAAGTTCATAAACATCATAGTCAAACCCGAATCAAACCGGTTATATGAATACTTTTAGTTATTTAGTTATTTTAATTAGTTTGGTTTCAAAACATATGAACTTAATCGTTTAATATGATTACTTTTGGTACAAATATCTGAACATGTTCAAAGATACATTAGGTTTTGGATATTTTAAGGTTTCTATACATCAAAACTGAATTTATTTGGACTTAGGAAAACCTAACTCGAAACTCACCCAAAATTTATAATACTTGAATGAAGTTTAACTTCCAAAAAAAAAAACTATCGAAAAGAATAATCCGTACATGAACGGGTACCCGAATGTCTTTATCTAACTGAGTTTGTAAACAGATAAAAAAAACTCTTGGTTAACTATTTGGAAATTTCATTTAAAATGTCAAATTATTAAGGTTAATATGTAAATAAATGATGTCAAAATATTCTAATAAAAATAATTAATAAAGTAATTAAAAAGATTGATAAAAATGAATGTAAAAGATATAATAAAACACTTCAAAATATAATTTTGTATTTCTGTAATAGATAATGTCAGATTATTTTTTAAAAATAATAAATGAAATAATGATAATAAATTAAAAATATAACGAAAATCTGTAATAATTGAATTAAAAATAGGTAATTAATGTTTCGTATTTCAGTTTTGATAAAATAGATGATATTAATGAACAAAAATAAGTATATAGAACTAAGTAAACTATTTTATACATGATAAACCATATGTTTTTTCATAACAAAGTCCGAGTTGAGACACAGGTCACTGATAATCTTCATTAAAAACTTGATCATGTTATTTTGGTCGAAATTAAGTGGATAATTATTTATACAATTGGTTTTTAATTTGGTCAAAGGAACATGGTATCTTTTGGTTTTTATTATACAGCGCATCATAAGGCTTGTTGGTTATCGAAACACATTGCTAGCTTTTATTTAAGGTTACGTTTATCAATTTATTGCGGTTGGTTTAGGAAAATTATAAAACGACAGTGTTAAACCTAGTGGCATAAAATTGTAATTTCTGTGTAAAACTCAAGGCTAAGTACAAAATGTACTTCCCTTTTAATAAATTAGATACTAATATACATTAACATAAACTAGACTTTTATTATACAAAATTATATGCAATTTATAAATTTTATAATTATAGTTTATATATTAAAAGAGAAATACTATATGAATAAAATAAAAATATTATATAAAATTTACAAATTAACATATTTTAACTACAAAAGTTTTTTTTAAATTATATCAAAATTTAAAAATATATATATATATATAAATTATTACCAAAAATTTTAAAATCTTTTCATAAATAATGCACTAATTTAGTAACAAACAAAATTTAATGTCATATAATCTTCCAAAATCAAAAAAAAAAAAATATTTATGTAATTTAGAAAACATTTCTTGATCAAATATACAATTTTGAAAATGAATATTCTAAACTCAAATTTTAAATATCCTAAATATAAAAGATAAAATCTTAGATGCTAAAGTGTAGTTTTTTTAAAAGGAACACGGAAAATAAATATTATTGTAAAAATAAAAATTATAATAATATTTGAAATGTTAATTTAACAACAAAAAAATAAGAGTGAGTTAAGAAGAGAAAAAAAGCAGAGAACTTTATACCATAATATCCAAAATAAATCTTATAGTGAACAAATAATTAAAATAATATCATCGATGCGACTATATATAAACTTTAACAAAATAATCTGGGTATTAGTTAAATAGAATAATATATTTATTTATGAAATCCACAATATACTAAAATGATAGATGTTAAAGTCAATTCTAAGCACAACATGAAAATATAAATTATCTTAAATAAACATTATTTCTATGGTATAGCAAAATAAATTCTAAAATGTATTGTATGTGTACTATAGATTTTTTTAAAAACGGAATTTGTGGTTAGGTTATTGATGGCAAGTCTTACAACAGTATCATTCCCTTGAACAATTCTACCTGAATGCAATTAACTTAGCCTGCAAAAGATCAGTCATGATTAGGGATCTCCCCTTTTTTTTTGAACAGTCATGATTAGGGTTTGAACAAAAAAAAAAAAGGGGGTCTCCCTTTCTTTCTTGGAGATTCTTAATAAATAAAAAAACTTAGTTTGGTGTAATTTACCTCAGGAGAGATGAGGGCGAGTTGAACAACAACCTAGTAGCTTGTTTCTTATCAAGAATGATAAAATATTATGTCTTTTGTATTTGTCAGTCCCTTGTGTTCTCTTCAACTGTATCTGAAAGTTTGAAGTGGTTACATGGATGAGCATCCGCTCTTAAGAGGAAGGAATAAGATGTCAAGATATATAATCAGTAATGGCAACTTAAAATTGAAAAATGAAATGCAGGGGAGGCTGACCTTTTCATTAATCAGAAACATGTCAACCTTGAATATAACAGTTTAATCATGTTTAGTCCAAGAAAACTATGAACATGAGTTTAATAACCTAAGAAGACTATGAACATATGCTTATCTAACATCGCTTCAAAGACACACTCAACATAAGTTTATGAACATAAAACACTTTGAACATGAGTTTAAGAACAGGTTTACCTTTGAATCCAGTAAGAGTATATCAAGACACATCAGTTACCTTCCACGTCTGACATTACTGGCTTCCCAAAACCTAAACAACCACCAGCTTTCAGATCAGAAAGGAAGGAAGATGGATGAGATAGTCAATTCACAGAGAATCTATATATAGATTAGTGTTTTCACAGATTGTGAGGATGTTGTTCAAGTGAAGAAAGCTAACATTCTTATAAGTGAAGATTAGACCGCCTTGGAGAGAGGGATAACTCACAATCAATCTTCTATGGAGTTAAGAAGACAATTATGGTGCTGAATCTGTAACTTGGCCGTTTCGTTTGAGTTTGAGTAGAGGAGAAGGCTAAACGACGCGGGTGGAGACAAACGAAGAGATTTTTTTATCTCGATCTCAGTCGTCCAAACTATCGAAAACACCATTGAAGCTATATGAGAACGCAGAATTATTTACATCGGTCTCATACTTGGAAAAAGAACAGAAACACTAACGACGGGTGAAGGGGATGAAGATTTTCTGAGGTCATGGTCTTTAATTCTAATAATTAACAGAAGCCCACAAGTTTGCCTTCTTTTTGTTTAATGAAATGGTGTGTTTCGGTGAAAAGGACATGTGTCTCACTGTGGGCATCCGATTTAGTGATGTCATATGATGAGGTGTATTGAGGAGAAAAGAATCCCTTTTTCTTCATAGTATAAGATGTCAAATTATGTTCTATTCTGGTAGAAAAATGTTTATGCCGAAATAGTTATAAATTTTCTAAAATTTAGTAAATCCCGTTAAAGAATCTTATCTCTAGATATTATCAACAAAAAGCTTTTCCTCCATGGTCTTTTTATCCTTTGGTATTTTCTTTTTTTTAGGAAAAAAATTGCACTATATCATTATTTTTTCTTGTTCTCTAGTAATCTTCATCTCCGCAGTACAAGAAAAGAAATCGATTTCCGATAGAATTCTTGACGGAAAATGTTCCATCGAAAATTCCAACGAAACCAAAAAATTGACTTTTTGGAAATCCATCGAAAATCAAAATTTGACTTTCATCAAAAATCTATTCTCAACGAAATCATGATATATACCTAAAAATTTTGATTTTTTCTGAAATTTTCAACGAGTTCCTGACGAAAATCAATTTAGGTTCTTAAAATATAATAGTTTAGGGGTTAATGGTCTCAACAGATTACCGGGTAATGATACATGTAAAAACAAGGTTGGACGTAATAGACACTAGTTATTATTTTCTAAAAAACATGGTCTAAGGGTAACTCAATAAAATCATAACCTTCAAGGTAATATTATATACTTAATATTCTTTAGTAGTAGTCGGTTCCAATGCAATGAGTTTTCCAAATTTCCCTTCGCCAGCAACAAAGCTCCATCCATTACTGGTGCCCGGTATCCATTTACCACAATTACAAATACACGCAGCATACTAACATTACAATAAAACACCTGATTCTCTACAAGTTTTTCTGCTGTGTGTATTTTTAAGTTGTGGTATCCATTATTGGCTCCCAATATCCAACTGACACTGAAGTTCATGTTGATAATAGTGATGATGTCGACATGACTGAAAACAAAATTGAAGATAACATAAAGATGGTCCAGTTTTCTCTGAGGATGAATTAAAAAAGATCAATGTTCCAAGGAAAAAGTGTTCTCAAAGATGTTATGAAAATATGTGCAATGACAAACAACTTCGACTGTAAAGTTGTAAAATCTGACGAAACGTTTTGCTGTATACGATGTGCAAACACTCTTTATAAGTGGAGTGTGCGTGCAATGTGTTTGGAAGGATCTTCATATTTTATAATCAACAGCTATGTGACTGATCATACTTGTGGTCCCTCAAGCAAAAAAAAATATCAAAGAAATTTGGCAATCTGATCATGCATAAGTATGAGGGTGTCAATGAAGAGCCTAAACCAAGAGATGTCATACTCATTACGCATACAGAGCATGAATATGAGATCTCTTATTCGTTAGCACAGCATTCTCATCATGAGTATACCATCAACGTTGTGAGATGTATACCATACATACACATGTAAAAGAGGCAAATTTTGGTATGCATTTACAGTATGAAATAGATAATGGTGAGAGATTCAGATTTCTGTTTATTTATTTTGGTCATTCAGTAAGAGGGTTCAACAAAGCCACTTGTAAAATCATCGTTGTGGACGAGACGGTTTTGAATAATATACATAGGAGTTTTACTTGTTTGTTGTAACATCTTTAGATGAGAACTCTATCCAATTATATATGGAGTTGTTGATTCATTGAATGACCGTTCATAAGAGTGGTTTCTTAGGAAACTGAATGTTGTTATTGCAGATGAGCTTGGTTTGGCATTTGTACTTGATCGACACGCATGGCTCAATAGCAAAAGTACCATTGAAAGTTTATCATTTAGCTAGTCATGGTGCTTGCATCCACCATTTGTCAAGCTATGAGGTACCCCATGGAGGAAGTAGTTGGATCTTGCTGATGGACCATATATTTATTCAAATTAGCCATCTTGAATGAAATTTTAATTAGTGGACTGAAGTTATGTGCTAAATCGTGACAGAAGTTTTCATTAGTATTGTAATGTTCTCGCTCATTTGTTATCTCTAAAGAAACGTTATCTTCTAGGACTCTCTTTGATAGTTTTTTTAACTAACAGAAAAATAATTATGAATAAACAAGATATATATTGATATTCATTGCCTACGTTGTTTTACCCAACCTAATTTCTCTTTGAAATATTGTCTTTTTCCCATGAACTATTAGATATCGTCTTTAATTTCTGCTTTATTTGTTAGCTAACTAACTGGTGCATGTTTCTCGTGCTAATGGAAGTTCAAATCAATAACAGTACAGTCTGAAGGAAGTCCAAACCCTTCTTTTCAAACCTCATTGTACAGTACAATGTACAAGACAGCAAAACATAGGCCATATCACGAGACTGATCAAAATTTGACGTTAGGAAAAAGCCAAGAAATAAGTTGATAAATTTAGGTTTTTGTTAAACAAAAATGAGAAATTTTTTTTTTTTTTTTTTTAATTTTCATACACGGTTTTAAATTTAACCGCAGAAAACCTACTATAAATACTAATACAATGTGATTGCTTCACCTCACTTAATAATAAACACACACACAATTACAATGAAGAAACCTTCAATGATCTCAGCGCTGATCACTCTCATATTAGCTGCAGCTGTCTGCACTACCTACGGAGAACCGGTGAAAGATACCGCCGGAAATCCAGTACGAGTTGGTGAAAAATACTTCATCACCCCAGTAAACACCGGTGGTGGTCTTGTCCCACACCACCATTCAAATTTTCCCTTTTGTCCACTTGGCATCGCAGTCATTCCGTACCCACCCGGCCTAGCCGTCAGCTTCACATATCCTTTTTCTCTCCCTGTCATCGTTGCGACATCTTCCTTTGTAAACATCGAGTTCAGGTCCGACAATTGGCCTGATTGCAACGAGTTTTCCAAGTTCTGGCAAGTTGATAATACATCATCGTCTAGCAAAGAGCCTGCGATTATCATAGGAGCCGAAAATAGAGGGTTTAAGATAGAGAAAGCTGGTGAAGAAGCAGGAGAAAACACTTACAAGCTGACCACCTTAACCGGAACCGTTGGAGCAATCCCAAGGACAAGCATACGTGAAGCACAACTAGTTCTCACCAATGATGATGCTAAGACCTTACTCGTCCAATTCAACAAGTTTCATGATGCTACTACGGTTACTACTTCGACTTCTCCGGTAGAGAAATTGCTTCCAAAGATGTTTCCATTCTACTAGTCAAAAAAAATCATGTATCATGTAAAGCCTAGACTCGTCAATGGCCAATAAATAATGGGTTGAGATAGGACCCGCATGCTTGTACGTGAACTTATCTAAAACAATAAAAGAAGAATGCTTTGAATCCCATGCGGAAAACAAATCCCTTATATATCAATATTGGAGCATTACGTTAATTCTTAAAATCCTTGGAAAAAATAAGTTGGTTCACCTTAATATATAGGGTTTTTTTGCAAAAAAAAAAAACCTCAATGTAGTTCTTTTTTTGCAAATTAAACCGCGAACTCAAAAATCTACGGGTCAACACTCCAAGCAAAAAAACCTCAATGTAGTTCTTTTTTTGCAAATTAAACCGCGAACTCAAAAATCTACGGGTCAAACTCCAAGTGCTAGTCAAACCGCAATATAACCTTCGAACCTGTATATGTGTATTTGATTGTGTACATTTTTAACATTTACCAATACTACGTCGTTTTGACTGTAATTTTTAATGAAAAAAGTTTGTACACGTCTCGGTTGGAACCTTGAACCTTACACACAATCTGCATCCTACATAACCAATTCAGCCAACGGATATATTTATACACTTAACAAAAGCAACTATATATATTTCTAAATTCATTCTGAAATGACCTTGTTTCTTATTTTTCCTTGGACATACGAGTTTGTGTAATGAATATGGGGGTCATCCTTAGATTGTTACTCAAACATTTACTTATTTCGGTTCTCTTTATTTATACAGTAAAACTTCTAGAAATTAATAATGTTGGGACTTTAAAAATTTATTAATTTACAAAAATTCCTTATTTAGATTTTTATTTTAAAATATATTTATTCTAAGATAAAAAAACAATTTATTTTAATGTATATACATTAATTATTATTTTAAAAATTTTACATTCATATTAATTTTATTATATTATTTGATGTATATAATATATATTGTATAGAATTTAAATGTGGTTTTAGATATAATGTTGCTAAAATGTCATCGAAAATATATTAAGTGCTAAGAAAATATAAAGATAATTTCAATGTGAATTTGAAACAAAAAAAAAATAAGGATTGTTCTTACTTATATAAATATGTATACATAAAAAATTATTAATTTATAATTTTATATGTATACATATTTATATAAGTAAGAACCTATCATTATATTTTTTTTAGTTTATATTCACAATGAAATTATCTTTATATTTTATTAACACTTAATATATTTTTGATGAGATTTTAGTAACATTATATCTAAACCACATTCAACTTCTATACAATATATATAGTATACTTTTTATTAAACTAACTATAAAATTAATTGATAGTGTATAAAATAATATTTTCCATTATTTCATTAAATAAAAGCTATGGAATTGCCTAATATGGTTAACAAATATATGAAAATTAATGATTTTGAATAATAAATATTTGATAACAATTTCATATCTTCCATCATTTTTTTTTAATTTTAATTCTTAAAATAAATTAAACAATCATATTAATAATATAATAAAAATTTAGATTTTTTCTTACATGCTGTATTTTGAATTTTTTTAAACGATTATAAATTACAAAAATTGTTAAAAGTCAACACTAGAATTTTTGTGATCAATGATTTAACTTTTTGTTATAACAAAATACAAATAATCATAAAACTATATAAATATGAAATCTCTTTAATATATATTCAAAAAAATACATATATATATATAATACATAAACATGTTAATTTCAAAATTTTCTTTGAGTAGGAAGCATCGGTAAATAAATATTCATATAAACAAAAATAATATTTGCTACAGTAAATATAAAAATGTTAGTTAAATCATATGAGTAAAAAATATAATTAATAAATATTCATATTAAAATATATTATATAATTTTGTTAATATCATTTAAGTTTAATTATATACCATATAAAATAAATAATTAATTATTATTTTTTTACCAACAAAAAAATATTGTAAATACAAAAAATGATGGTTTTTATTTATATGTTTACTCTAGTTTAACTATATACGTAATTTAGTTATTCGCTTCTCAACAATTCACTATATTTTTACTGCATAATACGTAAATGAACATACAATAAATAATAATATGTAGAAGTGATTTGATACATAATTAATGTTCATTCCGCGCAAGCGCGGTTTTCAAAAGTAATTTATTATTTCAAAAATACATTTCATATCAAAGTGAGATGGTGAATTTTAACATCCAGATGATATTAGTGAAGTGCAATGTAAATAGTTTTTAAGAAATCAAATATATCAACAAAAGTTATCTACTCATCAACGTTTTATTGACGATCAAAGTTATGACATGATGGTTGAACGATCAAAATTAGTATTTAATGATTATTAATATATAAATTTTATCCCGCGCATATGCGCGGATTATCACCTAGTTTGTTTACAAAATAGTTCCAAATAGTTTAATCAAGTATTTCAAGATACGTCTGAGAGTTCAAAAACCAGTAATATATAATGAAAAAAATATATGTTTCATGAGGTTTGTAGAGATTGTTGCTCCTTTGTGCAGTTTATGTATCTACATAGCAGCTTGAGATGTTTAAATGTAATGATATGTTTTCTGGAATCCATAGCCCGACTGGGTTGTCGAATATGTTATTTGTCATTATAGTGATGATTACAGGACAAGGTAGCCTCTGGATTAGATCTTATATGATAAGTTAATTGAATTTCATACCACTACTAACTTGACCATCAGAGTTGTGTGCCCGTCTCAGTTTATTTGCGGCATCCAAGACTAATTTCATACCACTACTAACTTAACCAATTTGAATCTGAATTGATTACGCAGCACTACTTTTTTTTACTATGGATCAGAAAACATGAACACTCAAGTAGAACATAATCAGGCAAACATTAATGTAATGCATCCTAACAAATGCAATAAAATATGCAAAACTCAATATAAAGAGTAAACTAATTTATTGTGCTGGACGATGGAGCAAAGCAGGCGATGGGCTAACGCTGCATTTGATAAAAGGATTAAGTCTCTTCAACCACTTGGACTTCCTCTTTTTCTCTCCAGGTTCGGTTCTTGTTTCACTCATCTTCCTCTTCTTGCTCTTGCTCTTATCCAGTCCAAAGCATCTCGGAGATGTTTCATTTTCATAGGCAGACTCTCTTGATGACTGCAACGCGTACACTTGGTTCTGTAAAAGACACATCTCTTGAAAATGTTCATCCCTCATCTTAAGCACGAATCTAGCGAGCCTCACTGCTTCCTTTTTCATGAATAGAGCTTCGGTGGCAAGCTCTCTATTCTGTTCCAAGAGAGAAGTGAGTTTGTATCCAAGATTCGCGGTTTCCTCTACAGCTACTTCTTTCTCCATGTCAAGCAACATCACAACCTTCTTTAACAGCTCGATCGTCTTGGAAGCTTCTCGGAACTTTTGTTCTCCGTGACGCAACTCTTCCTGTGCCATATCTTTTTCCGTGTTAGCATTCACGAGCTGCGAGACTAACTCTTCGATTTTCTGCTTATCACAAGTGGTGGTTTGCATCTGTTGGAAGGACAAGATGCTCGTAACTTCAGAACAGGTGTCAGTATCATCGTTGGAATCATTGTCATAAGAAACTGGTTTAGGGTTTTGTGGTTTGGCGTGGTTGTAACGTTCCAAAAGAGTGGTGTAACCGTTGTAGAGATCTTCACAGAGTGACAGAAGGAGGGGACGTCTCTGGTAAAACGATTCAGCACGCTGAGAAAGTGTTTCACAGGTTTTTTTTTCTTCAAGAGCAGAGACGCGCAATACTTGCATCCGAGATTCAAGCTCTGCGTGTCAAAAACAATTTTTTGAAACAACACTGCAGACCAAAGTAAGCATTACATAGAGAGGCATAAGACACAGACAGAAAGTTTGGTTAGTGTACCGGAGAGAGATGGTAATTGTGGACGAGGAGGCTGAGAGGGATCCATGGATTTTGTCTTTAAACAGCAGTTACTTTGCAGTTTGGGGAGTAAACTTGAGCTTCAAGGAAAATCAAAGACCAACATTTTGCAAAACTATAAAGGAAAAAATAGTAAGACGAAAGAATCAGTGAGATGATATGAGCGTTAATGAGACCTAATTGCAGCAAATATACAGAAAAGGTACGACGAGAATCTACAGATTCAGAAAAGTCATAGAGAGAGAGTTGAGTAATTTGGAGATCTGTTATCGTAAAAGAAGCAGTGATATGCGCTTATTTCAAATTTAGTAATTTAATTATCATTATTATTCGAGTTTTAACACATTCATATTAGTACAGACGTCCTCTCCTTCTCTCACTCTGTGAAGACCGCGGGCCTAACCCGTAAAAAGTTGTCGCGGGACAATTTCTTATAAACATATTTCCTTCAGGTCCACATCCATGGATCTGGACCGCGGGCCTAACCCGTAAAAAAATTGTCGCGGGACAATATTAGAACGAAATTTTCTAGGTTCGGAAATTTGCGGGCCTCAAAGGATATAGATCTTTGCAGAATTGGGTCTTTTGCGGGATGGACCGAAACGGATCCCACAGGATTACAAGGATCCACATTTTTTTTAAACTGAAAAAACGAGAGAATGAGTGAGAAAAATACGATTCTTGTGACTTCCCCTGAGAAAACGTAAGGAGTTCGGGCGATGATGATGATTCGAGCTTCGTGATAATGATTCGAGCTCCAGTGATGACGACTACAACTCCGGCGATGACGATTCGAGGTTTAGTAGTGTTTTGATTTGGTTTCTCTTTTTATTTAGTTTGGGATTGACATTTTTTATTTGGTGTTTCATTTTATTTAATTTTTGGATTCAGTAAACAAAAACATTGGTTATGAACTTATGAGTTATAAGATAATGAAAAATATATTCTGTAATTATTTTTACTTTGTGTGTTAATATGTTTGGGTGTGATAAAAAAAATAAGCAAAGCAATGATTGATAAATTATATCCAATTGAATCGACGACTTGAACTATGTTCTAGAATGATCTAAAGCGTTTTAGAGTAGCTTGAATCATTCGACTATGCGTATTATCACATGTCCCGTGGAACGGCCTGCGAAGACCTACAAGAAATGAGGTACGGGATCGGGCAGCTGTTTTTAAGACCACAGCCCGCACAGGACAGACCCACCACGTCTCGCTAGAAGACGAATCCGCAACAGTCTGAAATGGAACGGGATGGAAGAGCCCAATTGTCATCTCTACATTTTAGTAACAAAACATATTTACTTACTTTTCTAACCCCCCCCCAAAAAAAAAAAAAAAACAAACATGTTTACTTACTATCCACTGAGAATAATGAATGCATTTTACAATAAAAATCCAAAAAATGCTATATCGAATAATATATTTTAAATCAGAGGCAGTAATATCCACTCCATTAAAAATTATAGTTGTATTTGGAGATTTTAAGATTCTAAATCGACGGTTATAAAAGAATGTATTCAATGTAAAATTGGACATTTAGTTATCATAAAAAGACAGCAAAATTTCTGCTTAATTCAAATTTTTGTAGTTGTAAGTTTCATGAAACCTTTATAAATCCCAGTCCGTTTTGTAAGTAGAGTTGATGTTTAATTTTTGCATCCTTTTCACTTAGTGATCATAATATGTTTACCTTTTTTTCAAAAAGAAAAAAAACCGATAATATGTTTGCTTGCATACTATCCACTAAAAAGAAACATTGTTCCTAAATAAATCCTAAATGTATATCACAAAGATTATACTGAACTAAAGATTTTAAATCAATACTTACAAAAAAATAATTGTTAAGATCTCATATATATTTCTTCCAACCTTATTATATATACAGTATGTGCTTTATAAGAATAGAATAAATATCCACTGTATACTTTATTTGTATTAGCTATCACTTGATTGCCGTTCTCCATGCTTTCACATTTTCTCAATGGTAACACTTCACAGATTATCATGACAGTCTGCTACTCTTGCTGGTCCAGTCTCTCTCCTTGTTGCTACGTACTAATCCTTGTCACATCGCTTTTGCTTCCGGTTATGATTGGTTGGCTACACAACAATTGCAAAGATTTTCCTTAATGCAAGTCTCTTCCCACATCTTTTATGCTGCAAGATAGCCAAACTTTTGTGTTTGAGTAGCTATGTATTCTCTTTGAGGTGTGACAATAATGACTCAGGCTAAACACTAATAGTATCTTTCTGTATGTAGAATCTACACCATTATTCTAGTGTTTCTCTCTGTACAGAGTCTTTGTTCAACCTGATTCATTCAAGTGTATAGCCAGATGAAATATTAGTCTTGGTCCCTAAGTTTGTGTTAATATATATAAATCTATAACACCGAATTACTAAACCAAAAGATCAGCTTTTTACTAAATTGTTTAGAGCCCTAAAATGTCTGGATTGGTCGCGCAAGGGGAGGACGGTAGGGAATGAAAGCTGCATTTACATGATGGAATTTTAGATTGTTAGTGCCTCTGTTCATGTGTTCCACTGAAGTGTCTTCTTCATTTCCTTGGCATCCTATCTTGTGATTATACATAATAAGACAAGTAGTGTTTTTAAAAAAAATACATAATAAGACAAGTTCCCGGTTGTTGGAATTCTGTCAATCCTTTTTGTACACAGATTACAATTTGTTGGTAAAAAGCTGGAACATTTGCATAGATACATGATCATCATGTCTGTAACAAAGGTTATATATTCTAATGAATTAGCTCATATATGTTGCTGCAGTTGCTTACTTCATTCATAAGGTGACTGGTGAAAGAGCTTTGCATCCATAAATTTTCCATGAGATGTATCAAGGCTGATGCAATGATACACCTGCTGCTGTTTCTGAGGCAATGATTCTCAAGTGATTCACTTGTAATGATTCATACGTGCGATGTCTTTGGGTAGTCTCCAGAACCCTTGTGTTAGCCTAAGACATCCCTTCTACTCTTTCAAGAGCAACAAAATCTAGTGCCACCTTTTGAAAACCAGTTTGAATTACATTTCACATTTGAGGCAAACAACTCAGCTTCACCGTAGTGTTGCTCAAAGGTTCATGGCTCTATATCGACAGAGAAAACCAGAGTAGATCGTCTTGGAATAAGGGAACGGTGTTGTTTTAGTTGTAAAGCTAATGAGCATTCATCAAGTCGTTTCTTTTCAAGTGTATTAGGATTCCCGAAGTTAAAAGACAGAGAGATTGCAGAGAATGAGAACTTTGTTTAGTGAGAAATTCAGATTAAAAAGAAGTAACTACTTTGTCATTGAGACATATAAACTTGATGTACAATCTAAACAAGAGTTATAACTACATACTAACCACATACTTGTACTAAACTTACAACTACATACTAACCAAGCGATATATATTATGTAAACGTTAATGAACAGACACTAAATCGAAGTTCAACCTCAAGACTTTGTTCAGAGTTCTCTTAAACTGTGTGGTCTTTGTGGGGAAAGACCTCAACTTCAGATGCTTCTTCTCTGAAACAGCAACAGCACCTGTCGTTGGTTTCTTGTTGGAACGTCTTCCTCTGATCATTCTCAAATTGAATAGCTTCAACAGAAACGAGTTACCTGTCTTCTTGTCCTCTTCTTCAACTTGTGGACGAGGCAAGAAGGGATGAGACAGTAACTCATAAGCGCTTCCTCTGTCCTCAGGCATCCTCGAGAAACACGTTTCTATAAAATCTTTTGCATCAGAAGGAAGCGTCTCAGGTATCTCGGGAGCTTTACCACAACGAAGACGAGTCGCTAGAAGATTGATATTAACGCCTTCCCATGGAATCACCCCAGTGTACATCTCCAGCACCAGACACCCCACCGACCACAAATCTATTGCTTTGTTAGCGAAGCCGTCACGGACAGACTCAGGAGGCATGTAGATTGGAGTCCCGACCCACGGGAACTTAGTTTCCCAGAATTTAGGAACCACTCCTACCTCTAACGCGTTACCAAAATCCGAAATCTTGATCTCGTATGATGAATCTTGACTCGAAGAAGGGAAGACAAGTAAGTTGTCTGGTTTGATGTCACAGTGAACATATCCATGTCCGTGAATAGACACCAAACCTTCAAGAACCATCTTTGTGAAATCTTTAATCAAAGGTTCCGGCAACTTTCTGTCCGTATATTTGTCCATGAAACCGCGTAAGCTACCTTCGGAAGCGTATTCAAGTTGAAGTTTGTAGACTTCGTTACCGTAACTGCTAAGACCTTGTTGAAGAGAATCTCCGAAACACGTAACGATCCTGGGACATCCCCTGAGTTCGAGCAAAATCTGTAACTCTGTTTGGAGAGTGTCGTAGTCTGCTTCATACGAGTTCTTGACGGCAGAGAGATACGAAGATCCGTCGTGGGGATTAGTGTAGCGAACTAGGTTAACAACACCGTAAGCGCCTTCTCCAAGAACCTTGACGAATTCTTCCTGCATCTTTTTCAATCGGAGATGATTTTCTAGGGTTTCCAAAAAGAACTGTTCAGAAGAGAAAATTGTGAAAGCTTTTTTAGGGTTTCGAAACTGATGAATCGCAATGGAGAAAAAACGTGGAAGAGAACAAAAAAAATAATAGGAAGTGGAGCGAAGGAGAAGTGATATGACAATCTTTTATAGATTTGGGGATCAGTTAAGTCGGTGACTTTATACACACGGGAAAAAAAGGAAATTTGGATTAGCAATTTCCTTTTCTGAAATACTCAACAATAATAAAAAGAAATTCGTTCGTTGCGCAGAAAAAAAAAAGCAAAACTTTTCGAGTTTGTTATGCAATTATGTTTAAGAAATAAAATACATTAGTTTACATGAGTGTTACTACTATTGCCAAGTTGGATAAATTCATCTCGAAGTTGATAACATTAGCATATGCTTCTTCTTTTTTGGACAAATAACATTAGTATGCTATTTCTTTAAAATTTACAAAAAAACTTGGGTATCTTGGAAATTTGATACCAAAGCCATTCACATAATTAATGACAACAGTAGAGGATTAGTTTGGAAGTCATTTGTTTGAAACCCGCAAAACATATTGTAAGAGTATTTGTAATTTGGTACCACAGTAGAACCTCTTGGTGCACATATCTTTTTTTTGAATGATTCTTAGAAGAAACAGAGATTTTTTTTTTATCAAAAAGAAACAGAGATCTAGCAGAGGAATGAACAAGCAAAGTGGTTAAAGGACAAGGCAATGGAAACAAAATTATTGGTGTGGGAGAGGGTTTACAGCACATAAATCGTCTATTCTGATGTAGTAGCCTATTCCTCACAGTACTTTATGAAATTTCAGCACATAAATTATCTATCTTATCTTCCTCGTTCTTCTTAACACTCTCTGAGTCTTCATTTCTGATTGTCACGTAGAAATATTCCACTCAGTAAGTTTATCAAATTCTGACCATATGAGACTTGTAGTAGTAAAATTTTAACTGCCAAAACAAAGTCAGTAACACACTTTCGTTTCAACTCTTGAGTACACAGACACATGCGTCAAAGCATCACACATCAAAACCCAAACTATCATCAAACAATATAATAATCCGCAAACTGTCTTAGTTAAGGAGTGAACTTAATAAAATTGTATGTTTTAGTTAAAGAAAAGCTTTGACTATCATAGAAATTTTTGAATGGACAAGAAGTGAGATAAAAGTAGCAAGTTACCTTTTTGAAAACTCATTGAAACTCACGAAAAGTCTTCTAAGATGTCAATTTCAACGTTTGCTGTGTGTTTTGATCCATTGTCATGACATGAGAGCATTATCAGACTAAAGAAGAGAAAGTGATGAAAAAAATTATTTGGAAACGTTTTATCTAGAAGGTTTTGTAACGAAATTTCAAAAAAAGGTGAAAAAATGAGTATTTCAAAAAGGCAATGGTCTAGTTGGAGAAGGCTTATTGGGTCATAGTGAACTCGGAAAGCACCGGCTTGTAATCCTTCCACTGTCGAAAGCGTCGGGAGGTGGACGCTTGCTCTGTGAAACCAGCCTCATGCAATCTCCTCCATTCTAAGAGTATCTAAACCGCAAGCCTTCGCACAAAATCCAAACACTCAACTCCCGACTTAGAATGGGCAGGCCGAGGAGATCAGCCCGAGGTTCAATCACCTTGTCGTGACCTCTTGGATCACAAGCCCACGTTACTAAGCAAATTATATACAAACAAGTAAAGGTTTGTTTTATCCGATGTGGCACTTCACTGCTAATAATATACGGCGTTTTAAACATCTTCAATTACACAGTCTGGAATCAAGCTTTGATTTATTTATTCGTCCTCTTATCTCCAAAACGGAAACAAAACCTGAAATTTTTGTGAAGTTGATGACCTCTGGAGTCTGGAGAATACACAAAACATATTGATATATAATTTTTGATGGCTTCGCATATGCCACTGAGGAACAGTAATGGAGAAACACTATGTCACTGACTTCTTCCTCTGGCTATTAAGTTCTTAAGCTGGGAAACCGTTTCTGTCAGTTTTGCATTTGAGATGCACGTTTTGGCTAGATTTTTCATGTAAGCATATCAACAGTTTGTTAAAAGCTTTAGATTCAGGAGGCATTTCTGGCAAAATGTTCTTAAGGATAATACACTTCTCGTTATGATTTGCTCATGTCTCTGAAATTTTAGTTGCAATCTCTGTTGTTGATGATCTGATTCTAAGACCAGATGTAGAAATGTATGATTGTGTTGGTGCAGTAACCAATGATGGATCCATCAGATAAGGTATCAACTTCTCTGCTAAATCATTTGCTCATTGGGTTTCAGAAACTGTGTTATTAAGTATTTAGAGAGATCATATAACTGGACGAACAAACAACCTTACCCATCAAATGAAATCATATAGTATCCACCCGGACACAAACATGTTATGTTTCTTCTTCTTTTTTATTTTGTCAACAAACTTTCACCAAACTTTGTACCTCCAACTCAAGACCAGTGCCTCTTATTGCATCCTCAATTACAATGTTCATACCATCTATTTCAATGGGAAGTTTGGAGTTTGGTCTCCTTTTTCCTACGAACTTCCGTTCAAGTCAATGATTCACATCACTGAGATCAGGATAGTGGAGCTCTAGTTTATCTTAGTTGGATCTGTGGTCTCCAGAACTCTTGTATTAGCCTTAGGCAGTCCCTGATTAGCAGCAAAATCTAGTGCCTCCTTTATGCTCTGTATCCAGAAACAGTTTGAATAACTTTTGGATGAAAACAGCATCACCGAGGTGTTGCTCAAAGATCCATGGCTCTATATCTGCATATGAAAACACACATATCGACAGAGCAAACCAGACTAGATAGTTTTCGAATAAGGGAACTGTGTTGTATGGTCGCAAAGCTTGTTCCAGTTTTTGTTTGTTTACTTGAAGATGAAAAGCTAATTAAAATTCATCAAATCATTTCTTCTCACCTGTTCCAAAGTTAAAAAAGATGATTTTCCATTGCTAACCACAGTAAAAAGATTGAGAATGGAGTTCGCAGAGAGGAGAACTATGTACAGTGAGAAATTCAAACTGAAAAAACTATTTTATTGACAATTATAATGTTGGAACATACATATTTGAGACTTGAGATACATACTAAACAGAGAGATACTAGACATTGATGAACAGAAACTATATACTAAAAGTTAATAAACAGAATCTACAGACTAAACATGGATACTAAATGTTAGTGTTGCAATGATACCTGAGAAACATGTAAATTTCATCTACAGACTAAACAGAGATGTTAGACGTTAATCAACAGAAACTACAGTACATATTTAACTGATACTAAACTTTAATGAACAGAAGCTACTACAGTCTACATACTAATCAGATACTAATCTTAATCAACAGAAACTACAGTCTACATACCAATCAGAGTCTAAACAGAGATGCTAAATGTTAATCAACTGAAATAGCCTACACACAAATCAGAAGTGAACAGAATCTACAGTCTAAACAGAGATACTAAACCTTAATCACCAGACATAACAATCTAAACAGAGAAACTAAACACTAATTAACTGAAACTAAATTGAAGTCAGTCGATATCTTCATGGGCATAGTCTTTAACCTCAAGACTTTGTTCAGAGTTCTTTTAAACTGTGTGGTCTTTGTAGGGAAAAACCTCAACTTCAAAGGCTTCTTCTCTGAAACAGCAACAGCATCTGTCGTTGGTTTCTTGTTGGAACGTCTTCCTCTGATCATTCTCAAATTGAATAGCTTCAACAGAAACGAGTTACCTGTCTTCTTGTCCTCTTCTTCAACTTGTGGACGAGGCAAGAAGGGATGAGACAGCAACTCAAAAGCGCTTCCCCTCTCCTCGGGTTCCCTTGAGAAACATGTTTGGATAAAATCCTTTGCATCAGAAGGTATACTCTCAGGAATCTCGGGAGCTTCACCACTACGAAGAAGAGTGGCTAGAAGATCGATATTAACACCTTCCCATGGTATAACTCCCGTGTACATCTCCAGTACCAAACACCCCACCGACCACAAATCTATTCCTTTGTCAGCGAAGCCGTCAGAGACAGACTCAGGAGGCATGTAGATGGGAGTGCCGATCCACGGGAACTCAGATTCCCAGAATTTAGGAACCACTCCTACCTCTAACGCGTTACCAAAATCCGATATCTTGATCTCGTATGATGAATCTTGACTTGTCGGGAAGACAAGTAAGTTGTCTGGTTTGATGTCACAGTGAACATAACCATGTCCGTGAATAGACACCAAACCTTCAAGGACCATCTTTGTGAAATCTTTAATCACCGGTTCCGGCAACTTTCTTTCGGCGTATTTGTCCATGAAAGTGCGTAAGCTACCTTCAGAAGCGTACTCAAGTTGAAGTTTGTGTACTTTGTTACCGTGATCGCTTAGGCCTTGTTGAAGAGAGTCACCGAAACACGTAACGATTCTGGGACATCCCCTGAGTTCGAGAAGAACATGTAACTCTGCTTGGAGACTGTCGTAGTTTGCGTCATACGAGTTCTTGACGGCGGAGAGATACGAAGATCCGTCGTGGGGATTAGTGTAGCGGACTAGGTTAACCAAACCATAAGCGCCTTCCCCAAGAAACTTGACGAATTCTTCGTTTGACTGATGCATCTTTTCAATCAGAGTTACGTTTTAGGGTTTCGAAAAAGATCAATCGCTCAGAAGAGAAAATTGCAAAAGCGTTTTAGGGTTTCGAAAATTGAAAATTGCAAAATCGCAATGGGGGGAAGATAATGGTGGAAGAGAGCAAAAGTGGAGCGAGGGGAGAAGAGATATGAGAGTCTTTTATAGATTTAGGGTTTAGTTAAGTCGGTGACTTATTTGAACGAACAATTTCCTTTTCTTAAGATTCTCGAAAAAGAGCCGACGAAAGTTAAAAAAAAAGCAAAACTCTGAATGTTTGCTTTTTGTTTTATTTTGACTATTTAAAGTTAAATCATATTTTTTTTTTGCATGCAATGCAGTTTGTCAATATTAGAACTTCAATTTTTATTTAAAAGGAAAATTATGTGACCGAAATAACTATAATTATGTATTTTTCAAATTTATAAGCACAAAACAGTGTTCATTGATAACAAACTTAGATATTCGGGTTCTCGGATCAGATTCGTGTCTGATATTGTCATGTCCAGATTTTTAGATATTTAGATCCAATATAGTAATTAAAATTTGTTGGTTCAAATTCGATTCGGATCTTATCAGGTCCAGATCTTAAATAGTTAAATCCAATATATATTAGAATTTTTTGGTTCGGATTCAGTTCAGTTCTGGGTAGGGTTCGGTTTGGGTTATGTCGGGTCCAACCCAAAAAAATACTTAAAACACACAAAAAAAAGAGAAATTTCATTGTATAACATTCAAACAAATTATAATTTATAGACAAATGACCTACTTCACCTATACACTCCATCTCTTTTATATAATATTGCCATATTACCACCCTCAGCAACAACCTGGAAAACCTGGAAGATAAAAAAATAACATTAATAATAATTATATCTATTATTCTCAAAAATTAAATCATGGTCATCTTTGATTCATTCATTATTATCCGAAAACTTTTAAAAGTTCATTTTGAGGGAGATGATTCGGTTTCTTTTTAGATCTATGCAAAATAGTTAGTGAAGAAGAGAACTTACGAGGTCTCAAGCGGCGAGGAAAGAACAAAGATTATGGGCTTGTGCAATTGAGTTTAGAGGAGAAGATGACAGCATAGAGGACAACAAGGTAACGTCACAATTTCTGATTTGATTTGAATTCCTTACAATTTGGAGTTTTTTTGTTATTTATTTTAAATTGTTATGGTATGCTGCATTGCTACGGTATAGTGATAGAAAAATTATTGCATGCCACTAAATGGTTGTATCGACATGTCTGAAAATGAGGAAGATGTGAAGAAGATGAACTTATTGTCTATACTATATGCGGTGAAAGAAAATTATAGTATAGTATGTGTTCTTTAATGCAACTATTTATGTAAAGTTAATATACTATTTCCTATATATTCTCTTCATTCTATTTCTGTAAAAATGAACAATCAGTCGTGACCTTCAATTTCAGTATTTCTTTTTTTCGTCATGTTCATTAATAAATAATAAACTTTTTCATGTTCTATTCTATTTAATGGTTGTAAATTAGTACTATTTCATTGATCAGTGGTAGCAGAAATCAAATTACCAAACTATATCGTATGGAACCGTTCTTGTATTTCTATACCATTCACAAGAAATGGAATAACATTTAATTTCTACTTTTCATTGCTATTACCAAACATATATACTTCTTGTTACTACGACTCAGTTACTTACATATGTACGACTGGTACTACTATGGCCATCGATTGTTTGGCAAATTCATTATATACCAATTTCTAGTTTACAAGTCAAAGTATATTCTATAATTCATATTTATATAGTATAGTTTATTAATATATACAATATTATGTACTATTTTTAGATTTTGGTAATTGGGTTCAAAGTTTATACTTGGGTTTAGGATTTAGTAATTAGGGTTTAGAATTTAGTATTTAGAGGAAGAGATGAGGTTTAGGGTTTAATACTTTGGGGTTGAGGTTTGGAATAAGTTTTAGTACTTAGGAATTGTGAAGAGATTTAGAATCCTATACTATTTCAACTATATGGTATAGAAATTCAGATGCATATTTATGTGGTAGACAAACGTGTGGTGTTACAACTGACCACGTCATGTACTTATTCACTTTAACCGACTACTTGCAATTGGAGAGGGCGTGACCGGAATAAAAACATACCAAATGTTAGTTTATTAATAATGTCAAAATCAATGCTATCTACTTAATTTTTACTTTCATTTTGGTTATTCAGTAAATTAACCCAAAAAAAATCTAAAAACATCTGGAATTTTATTTAAAATCTGATCCAAAGATATGAAAAATATTTAATTCTTATCCGATTATCGGACCTAACCACTGTGGTAGTTAAGTTCGGAAATGTGATTAAGAGAAACTATGAAATGGTTAAAGGATAAAGTAAGTCAAAATTTTCATTTGTATAAGTACTAAATTAAAATAAAAGAGAACTAGGTGTTTTGCCCGCACTTGCGGGCATAATTCTCTTATGAATATTTATTAGTTGATGTTTCATTAATTTATTACTTATGTTTTCAAAAATTAAAAATCAAACATCAAATAATTATAAATGACAAATCTCAAACATAAGAAATATTTAAAAGAATATAGTTCTATAATTATTTTGCTTGATTTATAGTTAATTATAATATTTATACAAATATTTTTCCTTAATTTATATTTAATTATAATTTTTTATATCTTAATTTTAAATTTTATAATAGAAAAACATATTTTCAAGAAAAAAAAATAATGCATAAATTATTTATTTTCTAAAAATATAAAATGACAAATTTGTTTTAATTATATAACAGTTATATAAGATTATAGAAATGATGACATATAATTTAATTTACTTAAAATCATGGAGAACTTAACAAATCAACAAATTCATTTCTTAAATAACTTTGCTTGAGTGATTTTTATTTAATTAATAATAGATAATTTTTCTATTTACTTTTAAATTATATAATATAAAATATATTTTCAAGATGACAACATAATACCTATGAATTACCTTATTTTCTAAAAGTATAATATAGTGTAAATTTATTTTAACTATAGAATAATTACAAATTTTTAAATTTTAATTTAAAATATATAATATAAAAATATATTTTCAAGAAAACAACATAATACATAAGAAGTGTCTTATTTTCTAAAAATCTGATACTATTAATATAAATTTGTTTTAAATATATAATAAATTATATATAAAATTATATAAATTATGATAATTATCAAAGTTACCTAAAATCATGGAAAATATGACAAACCATCAAACATTAAATTCACTTCTTAAATAATAGTATAGATTTTTTACATGTTAATTTCAAATTTTATAATAAAAAATATATTTTCAAGATAACAACATAATACGAAAGAATTAACTTATTTTATAAAATATCATATTATTAATATAAATTAGTTTTAATTATATAATCAATAACAAAACAAAATTAAAGAAATTATGATAAGTGATCAAAAATACCTAGGATCTTGGAGAAGTTGACATATCAACAAATTCACTTTCCAGATAATTTTTTTGATGATTTAAATTTAATTATTAATAATATAATTTTTATATCTTACTTTTAAATTTTATAATAGGAAATTATATTTTCAACATAACAACATAATACATAAGAATTATGTTACTTTAGAAAAATATAAAATTATTAATATAAATTCGTTTTAGTTATATAATAAATATAATAAGTTTTATATCTTAATTCAAAGTTTAAGTTTTATATATAAAAATATAGTTCAAGATAACAACATAACTCACAAGAATTATCTTGTTTTCTAAAATTATGAATTAATTTAAGTTTTATATATAAAAATATAGTTCAAGATAACAACATAATTCACAAGAATTATCTTATTTTTTAAAAATATGGTATATTCATATAAATTCGTTTTATTTTTAAATAGATTATATATAAATATTAAAAATATGATAAGTAAACAAAATTACCTAAATTTATGGAGAACATAACAACTAAACAAATTTACTTCTTAAATAATAGTATAGATTACAAATATGAGGAAAATTCAGTATTCGAACCGAGCTAGCTAGCTCTTATAAAATGGTATTGAGATTGTTAAGTGATTTCTAGAGAAAAATCGTTATTTGGAGCTGTGTCAGAAAATCATAAAAAAAATTTGGTAAAAGTTGTTATTTTGTAAAAATAGTAAATTTGTATTAAAAAAATAGTTTGAATGATTATAAGTAAAAAATAATTTCTAGTTTATGTTTCTAGAAGTTGTGTATGGATCACAGACGGAACAACCCCTTCGTAAGAAAACTCACTCAAAACTTTTCCCTGGTGGCTTATGACCCTTACTTTCATCTAGAGTCTTTGGTGGTTCTTTAGCCATAGTGTCACTTGTTCTAAACGTCAGGGAAGACCAACAAATGTCTTTGGTTTCCTGAAGCACTTAAAGTGAATTAGGCCCATAGATAGAAACCATGACACGTCGACTAAAAGTAGATGCCACTGCAGCACAACACCATCACCTTCGACAACCCCAAAGCGAAGCCAAACTCACCTCAACAAGTCAAAACATAGGAGCCAAGAGAGCATCAGAACTAGAGTCCAACAGAACCATCCAAACAGACTTGAGAATAAGAAGAAACTGATTACAAGTACTGAAACTACATAATTAAAACCATTTGTAGAAATTTGATGGTAAGATTTCACAAAATATCAAATGCGAGTGTAATAGTCTGACGCATTCTTCTGCTTTGTTATTCACTTCGGAGGAAATATCTCTTTTTGTCAAATTGCTTCTTTTGTTATTATGGGAGTTTACTAGTTTAGTAACAATGTGTTTTCTGTGAAGCTGCAATGATAATGGCTCAGGCTGAACATTAATAGTAGCTATCTTTGTGGAGATTCTACACCATTATTCTAGTGTCTCTCCTTGTACAGAGTCTGGTGAAGGAGCTTTCCATCCATGAACATAATTGTTCACGCTGAAAAGGAAGAGACTTGCAAATGGAGACGCAGAAAATAACCCAGCTTGTGAAACGCTAGTTACATCTGTAGCTGTTAAGAATCAAAGGCAATGATTCTCAAGTGATTCACTTGTCGCGCTCTAAGTACTAATCTTTGTTGAATCTGTGGTCTATTGGTAGTCTTGTATTAGCTTAAGATATTCCCTCTACGCTTTAAGGAGAAACAAAATCTAGTGCCGCCTTTTGAAAACCAGTTTGAATAACATTTGATACAAACAACTCAGCTTCACCGTAGTGTTGCTCAAAGGTTCATGGCTCTATATCCGACAGAGCAAACTTGTGTTAGCCTTGTGTAGTCTACAGAACCCTTGTGTTAGCCTAAGACATCCCTTCTACGCTTTCAAGAGCAACAAAATCTAGTGCCACCTTTATGCTCTATATATGGAAACAGATTGAATTACATTTGATGCAAACAACTCAGCTTCACCGTAGTGTTGCTCAAAGGTTCATGGCACTATATCGACAGAGCAAACCAGAGTAGATCGTCTTGGAATAAGGGAACGGTGTTGTTTTGTTGTAAAGCTTGTTCATATTTTGGTTTGTCTTAGTTGAAGATAAAAGCTAATGAGCATACATCAAGTCGTTTCTTTTCAAGTGTATTAGGATTCCCGAAGTTAAAAGACAGAGAGTTTGCAGAGAATGAGAACTTTGTTTAGTGAGAAATTCAGATTAAAAAGAAGTAACTACTTTGTCATTGAGACATGTAAACTTGATGTACAATCTAAACAAGAGTTATAACTACATACTAACCACATACTTGTACTAAACCTTACAACTACATACTAACCAAGCGATATATATTATGTAAACGTTAATGAACAGACACTAAATCGAAGTTCAACCTCAAGACTTTGTTCAGAGTTCTCTTAAACTGTGTGGTCTTTGTGGGGAAAGACCTCAACTTCAGATGCTTCTTCTCAGAAACAGCAACAGCACCTGTCGTTGGTTTCTTGTTGGAACGTCTTCCTCTGATCATTCTCAAATTGAATAGCTTCAACAGAAACGAGTTACCTGTCTTCTTGTCCTCTTCTTCAACTTGTGGACGAGGCAAGAAGGGATGAGACAGCAACTCATAAGCGCTTCCTCTGTCCTCAGGCATCCTCGAGAAACATGTTTCTATAAAATCTTTTGCATCAGAAGGTAAACTCTCAGGTATCTCAGGAGCTTTACCACTACGAAGATGAGTCGCTAGAAGATTGATATTAACACCTTCCCATGGTATCACCCCAGTGTACATCTCCAGCACCAAACACCCCACAGACCACAAATCTATTGCTTTGTTAGCGAAGCCGTCACGGACAGACTCAGGAGGCATGTAGATTGGAGTCCCGACCCACGGGAACTTGGATTCCCAGAATTTAGGAACCACTCCTACCTCTAACACGTTACCAAAATCTGAAATCTTGATCTCGTATGATGAATCTTGACTCGAAGAAGGGAAGACAAGTAAGTTGTCTGGTTTGATGTCGCAGTGAACATAACCATGTCCGTGAATAGACACCAAACCTTCAAGAACCATCTTTGTGAAATCTTTAATCAAAGGTTCCGGCAACTTTCTGTCCGTATATTTGTCCATGAAACCGCGTAAGCTACCTTCAGAAGCGTATTCAAGTTGCAGTTTGTAGACTTCGTTACCGTAACTGCTAAGACCTTGTTGAAGAGAGTCACCGAAACACGTAACGATCCTGGGACATCCCCTGAGTTCGAGCAAAATCTGTAACTCTGTTTGGAGAGTGTCATAGTCTGCCTCGTAAGAATTCTTGACGGCGGAGAGATACGAAGATCCGTCGTCGGGATTAGTGTAGCGGATTAGGTTAACAACACCGTAAGCGCCTTCTCCAAGAACCTTGACGAATTCTTCCTGCATCTTTTTCAATCGGGGATGATTTTCTAGGGTTTCCAAAAAGAACTGTTCAGAAGAGAAAATTGTGAAAGCTTTTTTAGGGTTTCGAAACTGATGAATCGCAATGGAGAAAAAACGTGGAAGAGAACAAAAAAAAATAATAGGAAGTGGAGCGAAGGAGAAGTGATATGACAATCTTTTATAGATTTGGGGATCAGCTAAGTCGGTGACTTTATACACACGGGAAAAAAAGGAAACAAACACATATTTAATTCCTCAATAAATTATATATATAGTAATAATCTATATTATAATAGTTCACTTCTAAGGCTCCTAAAGCTGTCCACATCAGCAAATTTGTGGGTCCCATGTGTTTAAATTTTAAAGTTTATAGTTTGTTTAAAATGACTATGAACAATGAATACACTTTAGCAAAGTGGTATAAGGCATCTAATTAAGTCTGCAAGTGTGTGGGTTCAAACCACGCAGCTGTTATGTATTTTGGTTTTTTCGTTTAGATTATTATCATATGGGTTTTTTAGTTTTAATGTTTTTTTCCTTTAGACTTATTGTTTAAAGCCCAAAATAGTGGAAAAATCCTAAAGTTTGACAAACTCAAACCCAAAAACAATTAAAAATGGATCAAAAAACGAACATCCAAAAAAATATAAGAAAAAACGAGTCTCACGCGGCACTATCATGTCCTAATATATATTTTTACTGTTAGAACATATTTCATAATATATATTTTGAAAAAATTATGTATGTGAAACAAAATAAAAAATAGTTTATTTATTTATTAAATAACTATGTAATTTCTCTTCAATTTTAATAGTTACTATAATTTCATTTTTATCAGACTCTGGCGGATGGATTTCCACAGTCGATGACGCCGTAAAGAAACATACCACATTATTCATGAACAAAATCCTAACTTACAAAAAAACATATCCAAACCTATCTATTGAAACCCAAACAACAAATATTACTTAAATTAAAGTTATTTTCAGATTGATAAATCATTTAGTACAAATATAAATACTATAAATAATTATTTATATCAAGTTTTGACATCCGATATAAAAACTATTTCCAACATTAAAAAAACTATATAGACATCTATTTTTATACACTAAAAACTATATTATAATTTAGTTATTCCTATAAACCTTATTTCACATATAAATAACATTTAACACATTATATATACAATATTTCACTTTGCACTCTTGCTACATTATTTCCATTTCATCATTATTTGGTATAATTAGAATAACCCACTAAACCAACAACCGAAAAAAACACAGATACCGACCTCGCGCTTGCGCGGGGGTTATGCAGCTAGTGTAAACAATCTTATAGTGCAAAATAATTTTAACTAGGATAAGTTCCGCGCAAGATGAAGCTATTATTTTTATTATGTTTTGAAAAATGAAACAATAGTTCAGTTTCATTCGGATTAGAGGTGTTCAATCCAGATATCGGGTTTCGGTTCGGCTCGATTTTTTTTTGGTATTTCGATTATTAAAATATAACTACTATTCTAAATCTATATGTACTTCAGTCTGATTTGGTTTATATACCATCGGTTTTCAGTTTATTTAATTTTATACCAAAAAACATGATTATTTAGTTTGAGATCATATTATATATTATACAAATATATAATATGATCATATTTAGAGTCATATTGTCACAAAGTCATTTATTAAAAAAATATTATATATTTAAATAAAATAATAAAAAACAAAAAGGTTTCTATCATCTAATAAAATGATCAAATCTAGAATTAATATCAAAACACTAAATTTTGAAAAAAAAAAACAAAACAAAACAAAAGCATGAAAGAAACTTTTTTATATTCTTCCATATTTAGTGTTCATCAAACCAATATATCTTCGATTAAACACAACTCTGTTTGTTTAAAGATAAAAAAAAAAGTTGTAAAGAATTTTAACTAATTGTTGTTCATCAAATTTATAATCTTTACTTCAATTTAGTTACTGTTAAAAAGAAAAAGATCAACATAAGAAGTCTAAATTGTAATAAATTGTTAGCTATTTACAAATTATAATTATAGTTCAACTCATGTAACAAATAGATATTCATGCGTCGTTATAAATATATACATATTTACATGTTTCAGTTTAATCGGTTATAAATCAAACCATATCCAAATCCTATGGTTTTTATAAAATCACATCCATTCGGTTTGTATGGTATATACCAAAAATAACCANTAAATTGTTAGCTATTTACAAATTATAATTATAGTTCAACTCATGTAACAAATAGATATTCATGCGTCGTTATAAATATATACATATTTACATGTTTCAGTTTAATCGGTTATAAATCAAACCATATCCAAATCCTATGGTTTTTATAAAATCACATCCATTCGGTTTGTATGGTATATACCAAAAATAACCATATTATTGATTGTTAATATCTTTTAAAAATAAAAAATTAAAAAAAGAACTAAGATATTTAAATCATTGATAACAAAATTTTTCAATGTGAAAAAATTAATAATTTTATAATTTATAAATGTTCTTGAAAATTTATTGAGGATTTTGAAATTAAAATATTTATGTAATCATATATGGTATATATTTTAATCTGTATATATATTTGTATTATTATTGAATGATACTTTTTACTTATATGGTTTTAAAATCATGTATATCTTTTATAATAAAAATGTTAAACTATTGATCATTAATTTTTAACATAATAATTTTAATAGTTTATTTATTTATTCTCGTTTTTTTAAATTCAAAATATAACCTATACAAAAAAAATCTAAAGTTTAATTTTATAGCTAATTTGATTGTTTAATTTATTTTAATAATATGAAATTAAAGAAAAATGATGGAGTATATATAAACTGTTATCAAATATTATTATTAGAATCATTAAGTGTCATATATATATATTAGTCATTTATGGTAATTCCGTAGGTTTTATTTATGGAAAGAAAATAAAATAGTAATATATCTCGGGGAACAATCATAAATGTTTCTATCATAAATATCATATCATATCATATCATATCATATCATCATATCATATCATATAATTTGACCAACGAATGTATCTAGCGAAATATAAAAATCGAATGTGGACCTATTTATTTTTCAATTGAATGTAATCGACTACCTAATTGAGTGACACCTAAGCATGAGGTCTTTTTTAATTATTACAAAATTGAGGTTACAATTTTTTAAATGTTTCTCCTTTAATATATAAGGGATAATTCAACCAATGTATATATAATGGTTGTATAAACATCTTATCTATTAAAATAGAAATCATAACTTCTTTCTTGTGTGATTTTTTTTTTTTTTAATTTGGACCATCTTTTGAACTTTAATCATAATATTTTTTTTATATTTTCATGTTAAATATAAATACATATATTTACAAAAAAATCTAACAAATCTGTTTAAAAGAATTAAACAAGATCTTAATAGTCAAAAATTCTACATAAATATTTTAATAATTCATAATTAGTTTTTAAAATTATTATACATCAATATATCTTATAAAATATAGAATAAAAGTTTTAACTAAATATGATAAATTATATTAAATTATTAAACTTATATATTTTATTTCAGAAGTATTTATGTTCAAAATATAATAGGTTGGTAACAGGTGTTAACATTCGTAAACTGTATAATACATTGATAAAAATTAATATGTATTTCATTAAAGCTAATAATATAAAATATTTGTAACTATTTTAATCATGATATCGTTTCATTTTAATATATATATATATATATATATATATATAATTCTAACAAATCTGTTGCAAAATATTTTAACAATATCTTAATTTTCATAAAGTTTATTTAAATATTTTAACTAATTTTGTAATTAGCAATTAACTATTATTATGCATTAATATATATTCAATTATCATTTTTAAAATGAAACATAAAAAATATATCTTATTTTTATCTATTTTATAATAATAAAATTAATTTTAAAATAAAATTATTATATTTAATTAGATATGATAAATTATATCAAATTGATAAATTTATAATTTTATTTTCATAAATATAAAATATTTATGTTAAAATATGATATGATGACATAATGACTTAACATTCGTAAACTATATGATATATGTACAAAAGTTGACAAATTTTAGACTTTTGTATATACAAATAATCTATTTTGTAAATGAATAAACGTAAGAAAAGTATTATTAAAAGGAATTACGACTTTGAAGGTTGGCGGGTCAGAACTGAATATAAATTTGATACAAAATAATTTTCAAATATGTTATTTCATGCATATATTAATTTTTTAATAACTAAATCAAAATACATTAACAAAAATATATAATGAAAATGACAAATACATGTGATGGTTTTAAACTATTGATTATCTACACCATGTAAACTACAAAATTATTATATTTGAAATATGTGTATCAACATTTAAATATATGGTTAACATTAAAATTGTATACTATTAATCAACTGAAATAAATATATATATATATATATATATATATATATATATATATATATGGTTATAAAACTGAAAAAGAACATCTATGTGATTGCGCAGGTCAAGAGCTATTAGTTTAATTATGACAATAAGATTGAATTATCAATTAGATTTGATATGTGACCGTGAGATTACTTTTTAATCAACAAAAACATATATTATTTATTTAACATGTTCTTATTGGTGTAAGCTCAAGATTTGGAGCTTGAGAAGTTGCTGCATTTGGAGCTTGAGAAGTTGCTGCAGTGACGGAGTTTTGGTTCGCGTACTTATGTTACACACAGAAAATGGTGTGTGACACACGCTTCGAAGAATAAAAAAGGAATCATCAAGATGCGGTGATGTAGAGTATGGTTGACGAAAATAGAAGATTTATGATGCTAAAATATAGGAAAATAATATATTAGATAATAAGAAAATATATTTAATATATATTTTGGTTTTTACCTAATTTGGTGATTAGGGCTTTTGTCGTTGTAATTCTCAAAGGAAAATACAAAAAGGTTTTGGGGTTTCATAGCTGAGTGAATTGGTAGACTTGATCAACAAGAGTTGAGGCAAGCAACTTGAATGTGTTAGGAATTGAGGCAAGTCGTGTCTTTCGGATCAAACAAATCTGTAAGAGATTGTGTAAAGGATTTCTAACAAATCTGAGTGAAATGGTAGACTTAATCAACAAGAGTTGAGGCAAGCAACTTGAATGTGTTAGGAATTGATCTGTGGCAAGTCGTGTCTTTCGGATCAAACAAATCTGTAAGAGATTGTGTAAAGGATTTCTAATAAAAGAGATAAGAGTTTTTTGTAATTATTGTGTGTATTGTAGTTTTCGCTATATCTCAATTCTACATTTGGTATCAGAGCGGGACACCTAAACGAAGAAGAGTTCTTTGAACCAAGGTGAGATCTTGAGAGGAGAATATGGCGATTTAGGCACATAATATGTTGTTGCTGAATGATGTGAATTATGGGTATTGGAAAATGAGAATGAAAGCAAGCTTACGTGGAACTGATGAAGATATCTGGACAGTTGTTCAATCTGGATGGGAAGAACCATATGTGATGCTAGAAGATGGTTTGAAGACACCTAAACCAAAGATAAAGTGGACTGCAACAGAGTAAAAGCTTTCAAAGTTTAATGCAAAAACATTGGATACAATCTTCAGTTCTGTAGATGGTAAGCAATTTAAGCTAATACAAAGATGTGAATCAGCTAAAGAGGCTTGGGATATACTATAAAACGCCTTTGAGGGTATTGCGAATGTCAGGAGGATTAGATTAGACTTGCTTGCATCACAATTTGAAAAATAAGAATGATTGATGATGAGAAGATAGGAGACTTCAGTGCCAAGCTCACCTCCATAGCCAATGAAGGACAAGTTTTAGGTAAAAAATACGAAGATGAAAAATTGGTGAAAAAATTATTATGATGTTTACCTACTAAGTCTGCAGCACATAAAGCAGTAATAACTTTGACGAGGAACACTGATCAACTGAAGTTCGCTGAGGTACTAGGGATTTTAAAGGCTGAGGAGATGGAATTAGAATCTAAGTTGTCAAAATCTGTTCAGAATTCAACAATTTCAGTTGATGGGGAAGACATCCAACGAGCTCAGAAACTTGAAGAAACCATGGATCTTTTGTATCAGATGTCCAACAGTAAACTGCCTAGAGAAGAAGAAAGACATAAAAAGCAGGAAATACTGTGTTTTAATTGTCATGGTATTGGACATGTCAAAACAGATTGTCCATCATTCAAGAGAAAAGAAATCAGGTGTAATGGATGTAATGGTTATGGGCACATAAAATCAGATTGTGTGAACACAAAGAAGATGAAGATAAAGAGAAGTTGCAGTGATAAAAGTCAGACGGAGAGGAAGATGCTCTCAACTTTGTGGCTCTTCATGGAGTTGTAGGGTCTGAAAAAGACATCACTAAAGGTGAAACTCGTGCGTCGTCTGTGTCACACACTAATTCTGATGCGTCACACAGTGATACAAAAAGTGATTTAAATGCATATCTTTTTGCTGAGTATCAGGTCAATTTGCTAAACTCAGTGAAGAAAATATGCAGGTGAACAAAGATAAAGCAAGGCTGGAAGCACAATGGAACATTCTAGAGTAAAAAAACAACAATAAAGCAGAGCTTGAGATGTCAAAAGAAGAGAAGGAGTCTGATCTACAGAGTCTACAGATTACAATCTCTGAGCAGGCCAACAATTTAAAGAGCTTGGAGACCAAATATGAGCAGACGAAACAGCTATTGAATGAGGAACTTGAGAAACGTCAGCTACTGCAAAGAGAACTCAGTGAAAATTACAAAAAGTTAAGAATGCTGAATAAAGGATCTGAAACTTTAGATCATATTTTATCACTTGGACAATCTCCAAAGGTGAACTGGAGTTTAGGTTAAAAGGGTGCTGCTCCAAAAAAAATCAAGCTAGTCAAGTCAATGTTATCAACTTTAAAAAAGGTATTGCCTCTCACCCTAAAAGTAGCTCAAAAGTTGAGAAAACACATACATATGCTTCTGTGGAAAAGGAACATAAGGCTTAACCAAAAGTTCACCCTCCCAAACCTGCAATAACTCGGAGAAATGGATGTTTGTTTTGTGGGAATCATGGTCATAAAGTTGTGTTCTGTTATTCTCAGAAAAACCAGATTGAGAGAGTTTGGAAGATGAACCTTTGTTATGTAGAACCCAGAAGGTATGGATATGTATGGATAGCTAAGAAGGATCTGTATCTTAAGTTTACGAAATGTGTGTCACATGAGCATACCAGTGTGTCATACATTCGAATGGATGATCAATATACTGAGCTTGAAGAACCAATTCGATGGTCTAGGAGGTATTGAGAGTTTTTGATGTCCAACAAGTATCATGAAGTTTTCACATGGTTTTTCACTCAAGCAGGGGGAGATGATACTTGATTTCAAGGGGGGTTTGAAATTTATTTTGATGGGATGTACGATGCACATTATGCTTAAAGGTTAGTGAGCTTGAGTTGTAAAACTCAGTGAAAAAGGGGGAGAATGTAAGCTTAAGAACTTGGAGCTTGAGAAGTTGCTGCACTTAGAGCTTGAGAAGTTGCTGCAGTTGTGGAGTTTTGGTTCACGTACTTGTGTTACACACAGAGAATGGTGTGTGACACACGCTTCGAAGAATAAAAAAAGAATCATCAAGATACGGTGATGTGGAATATTTCTATATGTTTGGTTGACAAAATTAAAAGATTTATGATGATAAAATATAGGAAAACTAAGTGTTTTGCCCGCACTTGCGGACACAATTATCTTATGAATATTTATTAGCTGATGTTTCATTAATTTAAAAACCAGCATAATAAGTTATTATTTATGTTTTCAAAAATACAAATGAAACATCAAAAATTAGGGAAAATTTGGAGAAATGCCTTCATATAAGAATTTATTTTGAAAACTATATCATTGTATAATATTTTGGAAAACTACACTTAATCCTAAGTCAAATTACCAAACTATCCAATTAAAATCTTTATTATTATTATTTTACATCTAAATTATTATTTTAAATAAAAACACAAATATATTTAGAATCATTTGCGCTTGAAAAATCATATTTTAAACTCATTACTTGCCAAACAAAACGTCCTTCAGCTTTTTCAAACAAGTTTCTCGTATTCTTATTCTTAAGATTTAAATAAAAAATAAAAACTAATTAATCAATAACACAAATGTGTTTAACAATAACTAAATAATCATGTGTTCTGTTGAAAGAATATTTTGTTCCGGTATACGATTAGACACACATGAAACAAACCTAGATAAAACATAAGAAGTACATTAAATGGTGCATTGGTGTGACTTATCTAATTTTACTACAATTTATTCGTTAATGTATTTTTCTTTGATTAAAACACAATAATTCTAGGGGGGGAAATGAATTTTATAAACATTGTGAATCTAGAACACGGAAGAACTCTTGCAGTTGTAAATAATATCAAACGTACGTTTTTACTGCTCTTAAAAGTGTGTATGATTCAATCCATTGATCATTTATTAAAGATACTAAGAATCAACAATATGAACATATTTTTATCTCAAAACGTTTATTTACCACAAACACAGATAATAATAATATTTTAAAGTTTTAATTTTATTTATATATTTTCCGAATTAATTAGTTATTAAAAGTTAATTACTAAATAAAACCAGGATAAAAGTGTCTTATTGCATATAATTAAGTGTAATTTTCAAAAAAAAAAGAAAAAACGAAGTATATTTTTCAAATTTCAAATCACAAATAAGGTATTTTCAAATTATCCCTAAGAATTAACTTATTTTCTAAAATATCATATTATTAATATAAATTATTTTTAATTATATACTCAATAATAAACAAAATTAAAGAAATTCTGATAAATGATCAAAATTACCTAGGATCGTGGAGACAAATCAACAAATTCACTTCTCAATTAACTGTTTTGATGATTTATATTTAATTATTAATAATATAATTTTTATATCTTAATTTTAAATTTTATAATACGAAAATATATTTTCAAGATACCAACATAATACATAAGAATTATCTTATTTTATAAAGATATAAAATTATATAATAAATATAATAATTTTTATATCTTAATTTAAAATTTAAGTTTTATATATAAAATCTATTTTTAGATAACAACATAATTCACAAGAATTATCTTATTTTCTAAAATATGCTATATTCATATAAATTCGTTATATTTATAAATAAATTATATATAAATATTAAAAATATGATAAATAAAAAAACTAAATTTATGGAGAACATGACAACTAAACAAATTTACTTCTTAAATAATAGTATAGATAATATATTAGATAATAAGAAAATATATTTAATATATATTTTGGCTTTTATCTCATTTGGAGGGTTTTTGTCGTTGTAATTCTCAGAGGGAAACACAAAAGCATTTTGGGGTTTCATAGCTGAGTGAATTGGTAGACATAATCAACATGAATTGAGGCAAGCAACTTGAGTGTATTAAGAATCAATCTGTGGCTAGTCGTGTAATTCAGATCAAACAAATCTGTAAGAGATTGTGTAAAGGATTTCTAATAAAAGAAATAAGAGTTTTTTGGAATTACTGTGTACTTTGTATTTTTCATTGTATCTCGATTCTACAATTGGTTCTAGGATTGAGGAATATATATTGATCGAAAAAACAAAAGGATTCAGGAATATTTCTACGATTACCGAAAGACCACTCACCGTTTGCCAATACGTCGAGCTTCAGTGACTCCAAGTTATCTATGAAGGTCTGACCACAACGTTCTTGGCACCATCGCCAGGGAGACACTGATACGTTCTATATCTCAGACTTCCAAGAAGACGTACAAAGAACTTGAGGTGAGTCAAAGAAAAGAAAGAACCTCCACTGACTATAGATGACGTGGCAGAGGGAAAGGCAAAGACTCCAATCCTAGGGGAGCCTTTGCTCTTGAGCTTCACTTCTTTATATACCATCCTCTTGGAGAGAGTTCCGGGCATCGAACTCAGCAAGCTCTTGGTCCTTGGATCTTTGTTTATGGCTTGAGAGTTATTAGAAGCAAGATGACTAGATTAAGAGGAGAGAGAGCCATGTTGAATGATGCTGAAGCTCAACTTACACAAATAAAAACCCATAAGCATATCATATTAGAGTGGCACAACATAAAATATCCAAAACATTCGCACAGACTTATGACAACTTCAGCACACCACAAGATATAAGTAGACATAGAGTTTAATGGAAAAGCCTTAACACAAACTTAGGATAACTTCAGCAAACCACACGAGATAAGTAGACATAAAGAGTTTCATGGACAAGTCTTAACATTTTATTTGGGCGATGAGAGAGTCATAATAGCTCATAAGTGGAAGATAGAGAGCTGAACTGGATCAGCAGTAGAACATAACTCGCTTCACGTTATCTTTCAAAGGTGGGAGTGGCCTCACAGCAGCGTTCACGTGAGGCCCACGCATGTTTCTACCACCCATACCACCTCCACGTGCCATGCTCCCGCTTGCCATCGAACCACTGTCTGATGTCTCTGGCTCCATGTAGAAGCGAGCCCTGAATGCTGCTAGATGGGCATAGTACGCAGGCGGCACTACAATAATCCCAACACAAACAATTAAAAACTCATTACTTATCTCTACATCCGAAAACTATACCATTCAAATGTCAGCAAGAGAAAAGAACTCACCAATGGATACAGAACGAGTGCATCTCGCATACCTACACAACTCAAAACAAATAGTTTTAATGTAATGGTTTGTATTGAGACTACATCTGTTTAATATATTTCAATATGTAATAATGACATGTGACTAAAGAGCAATTGAATCTTACGTGTAACATAAGTTATTAGTAAGAGACTGGAGTCCATCAGCAGAGAAGTTGTTCTCATCCCAAAGGACATGGTAATGAGCAGGTCGGGAAGTGCCCTGTTCATCAAATGTTGATTCTTAAGCATTTCGTAAGATTGATTAAAGCTCTTTTCCTATACAAAAATTTACCTGAATACCAGCATGGCTACAGAGATAAAAGTCGAACTCCGTAGGGTGACATATTTTGGAATCCACGACAGTGCCTACACAAAAGATTTAACAAAGTTTGTAACATCTTCGAAGGATTTGCAGCTGATTAAATTTGCACGCAAAAACCAGGTTCACACCAATCCTAATTTATCTCACCTGGTAAAATGTTGCCACTTCTATCCACTGAATTACGATCATTATGGTTCTGAGCAAACAGCCTCGTGTGATGGCGCTTTTGCACCACCACAAACGTCACTGGTGGCTGATAACCTGCTTCCAGCGAAGCACATGCCTGAAATGGTTGCAATTCAAATCACATTAGACATAGACAAGTACCACCAAACACAAATACAACAAGTTATCTGTTATCTGTTATCTGTAACTCTTACTTTGCGGATGGCATCAAGCTCGTAGAGCAAAACCTGATAAAACTGTCCTTCACTGACTCCATCCCTGTGGCGTATAAACATACAATAATATACATCTTTAGAGAGAAATAAAACACGGTTATATAATGAAGTGTGCGCCAAAAGAGCGACTTATTACCTGTAGAATATGATCCTCAACGGCTTATGCCCAGTTGATCTACGGAAGGCTATAAGTAACTCCCTGTTACAAAGGAAACAAAATGCAATAATCACTTGGAGCAAGTAGAAGCAAAAAAAAAAAAAAACTGATTCGGAGCAGTATCGAGAACATACTTTATCATGCCACCAGTCACCACCCCTTTCTGCGGATCCTTCCATTCTTTGAACAGATCCTGGATGAGCTCTTGTCTATGCGCCTGAGCACAAACTAGTCCAGCATACTTGGTAACTTCAGGCCAGTCCTGGGAAGCAACAACCTGAAAAAAACAAATATCATTGTGAATCAGAGTAAGCACATCAGACCAAGCCCTTAGAGAAAAAAAATGAAACATGCATTCACAACACAAGATGATGAAAGAGAGACTTACAGCAGCTATGGACGGACTTGAATCCTCTCCAGGATGAGGATGGGTTACATCAGCACCAAAGATTATGGTAGGGCGATCACTGACCAGAGGAATTCGCCTTGATAAGGCATCAACAAGCACCGTATTCCTTCCTCCAACTTTGACATTAATTTTCAAAGCCACATTAGCCATATACTGCTTGCTCATCTTGAAGACATGCTTTGTCAGGCAGCACTGAGATACAATGCCGAGTTCGGTCTCACAGATACGCTTCAAATCACCTGCAAGGAAAATGACGATTAGAAAGCCTGTTTATATGTAAATGCAGACGATGAAGGGTACTGGAACAAGTCCCGTACCATATAATGATCCATTATTGTCTGGCAGAATGACAATAAGAAGATCAATCTCTTTTCCATCCGATAGCTTGGCCATGGCATCATGATATCGAGTTTTCAAGACTTTCTCAACATGCTCAGGGCGAGCACTAAATGGTGGGAGGACAGGTTCCGGATTAAAAGCCTGCAGGTACGAATAGTTCATTATCAAGCTGGGAAAGGTTTAATAAACTAATATGTGCTCTACAAAACTTACCATGCCAGATGTGTAGCACATTTGAGCAAGTTCCTGACAGAAAGAACGTGCCATATTGTCTGGCACTTGCCTAGAGAAGTTAATGCAGATCCAGTTGCCCACTGTTCCGCCATTGATCATTTTCTGCAAAAACTCATCATATCAAGAGAATAGAACTATAGAATCATAAATATAGGCAAACAGACGAATAAATATTTGATCTAGTTACCTTATTCATCATATTCCACTGACCAACTTGTGGCAGACAAGTCCCTTCCCTTCCAGATTCATGATACTTGAGCTGCAAAATAGAACAATTAATTCATATTGCAACTTAGTTATAAAGCTATAGATAGAAAAATGGAATAGCCCAAGAGACAACTACTATACCCATGGAGGAGGCAGAATTCGAGCTTCAACAGAAGCAAGAGACGCACTTATCTTGATGCCAAACTCCTTAGCATAGGGATCGTGACTGTAATCATTTAGCTCCACCGTCTAAGCAATCCGAAAACAACATATCAAATTAGAATAAATAACAGTGTTCAACAATATATAAATACTGGGGCAATAAGAAACAGGACATTCAATAGAGTAAAGAGAACAAATTAGCCAAAATAAACATACCCTCAAGATATCCTTTTCTCGTTCTTGGGGGCGCTGACAAGTCACCTTCAGCAGAGCAGTGATCTGTCTCTCGTTCAACCTTTTTGAGTATCTCTGACCCTCAACTATCTTGCAGACCTGTACAAACAAAAGCAAATTAGCATAGGAACTATTGGTGAGAAAATAAAAGTTGATGAATTTGAAGTTACCTCCATTGGTAGGTAATTTGGCCTGTTAGAATTCCCAACTTGCAAGCACGGAAGCTGTGTGTGCTGAATGCGAAAGCCATATGTTTCGTAGAAGTATTCAACAACAGATTTCTGGGTGTTTCTTTCATCGACAGGAAATCTGAAAAATATAACACAAAATAGAAAGATTAGCTTATCCTAGTTCAGCATTCACGAAATACGAACTAGCAAACCTAAAACAAACACTCACGTCAGTTCTCGAGTGGCTACAGCAGTCAGGCCAGAAATACGGTACTTCCGGCGCATATTTCCTCGATGGGTCACTTCAACCTTGACACCTCTAAGAGCCTTTTTGATCTGTTAACAGAATAAGAGTGAGAGTAAGTAAACAAAGGAAGGTCAAGAATGCAACATTTCACTTCGGTTATGATAATCAGGAAATGGCAATTGACTCATACCTTCACACGATCAGCATCAGATAAAGGCCGGGATCTAATATCCCTATTCAGCAACTGGCAAACAAATTCAGTCACAGGAAGTGCCTCTATGAATGCTGTCGATGACATATCTACAAAAAAGGTAAAATCGCAGCATGCATGAGTTGAGACATTACAAGAAGATCTATTTAAATAAAATTAATGAAGGTAATGCAGAAAAAGATCGCACCAATGTTGAGTGATAAACCCATCTGTGTAGGACGAATGCTTTGGTAGAACCCACGCCAGCTCTCCAAGCCATCCCCCAAAGATTGCTTTCTTCCTATATCAGGAGAATAGAATGACCGGGCCACAGGAGTATACCTGACTCTAATATGTTAGCAAAACTAAACAAGCGGACTTATAAGTTAAGTATAGAGTAAGAAGCATCCACGGGATGAGTGAACTTACTTGGAAGTAGGCAACTCACGAAGAACAATATCAAGAACCTGCAGAGCCTCCTGCGGGGCATCAGCTTGTTTCCCCTGTAAAAACATTCCTAGGTGATGCAGATCAGCACGTGCAGCAAGCTTGATCACAACTTTGAACTCCCTTTCTCGTCTGTGAAACAGGAATGCATTATTACTCTGAAAAACATTAATAATATTAACAATGTAAGAACTGACCTTTGTCCCCCAGCCCCTTCTTCCTCGTCATGAAGCAAGATTCTGAATTCCTTGGAAACAAATGGAAGCGGCCCAGCAGTGTAGAGACTTTTTCGACCATCATATGCAGGAAGACGTTTTCCAAGGTGTGACTCACGATACAAGTCAACCAAATTTTTCATCACAGCACGATTAACACCCCTTGAAGTGACTTCTGGAGTAATAGTAACCTGTAGTTCCCAAAAAGAGACAGGATTAGACGCACTGTAGCTTTAAAAAAACTACCAAAGGAATAGGTGAGACAAAACTTACATCGTACTGGTGCAAATCTTTGTCAGGCAACTCAGCAAAGAAGTGGTTGGCCTTTACAATGCAACGCTTGCCGACCTGTCCTTTACCAGGCCTCATTGGAAACTTAAAAGCTTTGCTGGACGATGGAATAGGCTGGATTGCCTGACTGGTAGCTCCTTGTTCAATAGAGAGCTGTTCAAATTCTTGTACCGGAGGAGAAGGATCCGGTACCTGTGTAGGACTCACCACAGACGGTGTAGGCTGAGAAGACACCGCTTGATAATTTGGTGATGTAGCTTGATGCAGCTCGGGAACTGATTGTCTCAGTGGCGGTCCAGCAGAGGGTGCACCACCACGGCCACCACCGCCATACCCACCTCGAGGAGGTCCTCCTCTTGGTCCACCGTACTGTTGTTGGTGCTGGTACTGTGGTGGTTGGCCTTCTCTTGGTCCACCGTACTGTTGTGGTGGTTGTTGGCCTCCTCTTGGTCCACCGTACTGCTGTACTGGCTGGCCATATCCACGACCACCACCACCACCACCACGACCTCCCTGTTGAGACTGAGGACTATAACCTCTTCCACCTTGCTGCTGTCCTCCTCCTCTCCCACCTTGATGCTGTCCTCCTCCTCTCCCACCTTGCTGCTGTCCTCCTCCTCTGCCTCCACCCTGTTGATAACCACCACGTCCACCACCTGAAGGTGGACCACCTTCACGGGAGCCTGACCCTTCACCTCCCTCAGACGAACCATCAGTTCTCTTCTTCCTCACCATACTGAATCCTTAAAAAACAACAGCCAAAAAAAAACTGTTAGTCACAAAAAACATAACCCACACCAAAAACAAACAAAAAAAATCTTCAAAGAAATATGAGAAACACATACAAGCACTCAATCCACACACAAAGAAAGTGGAATTTAGAAACTATTAAACCATACGAGAAACAAAACAAAAGCCAACACAGTAAACTATCAACACGAAAAAAAAAACCTAGAAAACAAGTTGGGGGAGACGAACCAACACACAAGCACGAAAACCGCTACTAGATCCGAAATCTCAAGAGATCAAACGAAACAAACAAAGCCTATAACCTAATCACAAACCCTAGAAATGAAATTGATCCACCAAATCGAGTGGAAAAAACACGTAGATCGAACACAGAACAAGCAGAAAAAAAACTTGACTCACCTGTAAAACCACTATCTCACGGCGGAGATACAACGATTTGACCCAACCCTACTTCTCTATCTCTCTTCCTCGCTTCTCTCTCTCTCTAACCACCAAACGAAACGAGATAAGTAAACAAAGAAGTGGTGAGTTTTACTGCTCCACTTTAAATCCCCCCAACCCTTGCTGCTCCGTCGAATTTACGAAACTACCCTCATCGTGAATAGCTGGGGTGTGGTGACGTGTCGAGTCACGGTTGGTCTTCCTTGGGCTGACCCAATGGGTCGTGTGTGGTAGTGTTGTCTTTCATTTGTTTTGTAATGCGCTGCTGACGTGGAGTTGCATATCGTCTCTGTCGTTTTGTATCTAGTACATTTTTACATACTTTTGATCTCTCATCCGTTTTTATTTTTTACGTTTTTCATAATAGACGTCGACTAATCTTAACGTTTTGCTTTAGTTTATTGTTTTGTTTGTCACGCATGATGCAACCACGCATACTGGATGTTGATATATACTACTAGACCGGTCATTGCTTTTATTATAATTTATAAATCTGTATTAATTGATTCCGTCATGTTTTTTTTTTCTTTGGTTTACCTGTTATCATGCAGTCAAAGAAGAGTACACGTATTTAACGTTTAGAAACTTAATTAGTTGATTCATGCGATGACTAAGTTGTCTTATGTCAAGGAGAGAGCCAGTTTTCATGCACCGCAAGGAAAATCATGCAAACAGTGTTTAGAAATCATTAATTTAGCATTTATAGTTATGCAAATAGGTAACGCAGAAAGCATGGCGAGTCTTGAACCGACTGATTGCGGCATTGGATGATTGAGATGAAGATCGAAGAAGTTTACTACAACAGTTGTCACGTTATGCAACTGATTCGTATACAGTCTCAGTGAGAATGAAAATTATACGAGTCGTTGTCATCCATGCGCCATGAAACGATTGTCACGATTCGTTTTTCTTTTCTTCTTCTTTTTTTTTTTTTTGAATTAAACGTTTTCCTATTCTTACTAGGTGAAAATGATTTTTTGACCAGTAGGTGAAAAAAAAGATTTAGACACCAAATGACCCAGTAGGTGGAAGGACCTTTATATGTTAGGTGATAATGCTTGGTGTAAAATACTTTTGTTTCTTGCTGTGCAGTGGAAAAATATGCAAAACTTGTACTAATTAAGTTAAGCTTCTAAGGAGAAAGGCAATTTTACGTCATATTTCGCTAGCTTTTTAAATATATCACAGGGTTTTTTAATAAGCCAATATGCCCTAATTACGAAAATTTAAAACTAATGGTATCAATGTATTTATAGTTCAGAAAAATGTATGTTTTTTTCTTTGTGCAACGTTCAGAAAGATGTATTTATAGTTCATTTTCAAAGGCTTTTGTAATATCCAATGTTTTCCGTTAATACTGTAACATCCTCACTCACGTTGACTTTACATGTGGTTGTCTACGGGTGTTAGTTGTATCAAGTGATTTAAATACAAAGAATGGTCGACTGGTCACATTTTAATGCAATGGTATTGGATGTGGCATTTCAACGGTGACCAATCAAACAAATGGGTTGAGAATATATCAAACCTACTTTTTATGATGCATTATCTCTAATCAGAGAGTGGTAGGGTTATCTATTACTGTAAAGTAAACGTGACATTATGAAAAATTTGTTATTATAATTTTTCTTAGCAAAATTTAACCATGTTATATCATCATTTATCGAATAGACCTTTCATCACAAGAAAGTAGAGAAAAAAAATACCGTAAGAGAAATGTTAATTTATCCTTGTAAACATCACCAGTCTTTACCTTTTCATTATCAAACTCCATGTAGTTTGTCCTTGTACTCGATTTTCTCTTATGTTAGTTTCAGGATAATTATTGTTTTTGGAAGATACTTTGCAAATTCACGTTTCATTTTCAGTCATCCGATTCATCATGCCATCACAGATTCACAATTCACACGCAAGAAAGAACAAAAGAACATATTGAATCTGCCGAGTCATGGACAGCAAAATCATGTCACAAGGTCATGCCTAAGGTCAAGAAATGCATTAATTCTGAGTTTTAACAAAGGACGAAAATGAATAAATGAAAGCTGGTGAGCAAAAATTAATAAATGAGATTACTTAAAAACTTAGGTAACTCTCTCTTTCGTGTTAGTATAGGACTATCTAACCTGTGCTTTCGGGCAAAATGATAACTTTTTGACAAGTTTGCTATATTTCTAATTTGGGAATGTATATAGGGTGGGTCATCACGCGGTTTGCTTTCATATCTATGTCTCTTTATTAATTCAATTTTGATTTGGTTCTGATCTAGTTGATTGATTTATTTATTTGTGTATGTCAAAGATATTTGAATGGAGACTTTGTGAATACGTTCTTTAATTGTTAATTCTTAATTTTTCCTTGTAAGCTATGAGTCTATGACTGAATGTTAGAGAGTGATCTTTATATTGGAAAGCATAGTAAATGGTAATAGTAAATACTAATCTCCATCACAAAACAAAAATCATGGACATGGACGTAACTTAACGGTCGTGAACATGTGTGGGACTGCCTCACTAGGCTATGTTAAAAGGAGGGATGGATATGAATTTTATTTTACCATCTGCTGTACAAGTGGGATAAATAAGAATTGGTGGGGCGGGGGCAAATATGAAATTATTTTCTAAAAAATATTTTTACAGTTGTTGCAACTTTGGTGTTTAAAAAAAAAATAAAACTTTGGTGTTAGACTATATATAGTTTAAGACATTGATTAAGAATTATAGAGCTGATAATTTCTTTTAATCAATTTAAGTGAACCATGCTTCTGTAGCACTTTTGTTTGATCCATCTTTCATCTATCAAATTGAAGAAATAATGCTGGGCCAGAGAATAGTTAATTTTCTTTATTTATTTCCTTTTCATAGAAATATGCCTGCGATTTCTGGGAGGTGATGCTTTTTGAAACCTTTTCCATTTTTACTAATTTTGGAAATATTATTGATGGGTCAAGCACATGGTTTGATTTCATATTAATGTCTGTTTATTTTATTTCCTGTCTATAATAAATTGATTTGACGGTTCTCTAGTTCCAACTGGTAACTTTGTTCTTTACCTGAACTTGGTGTACCCATCAGAAACCTACTCGATGGCAAACTATTTGAAATTTATTTCATTGTTTTGGTAACTGATGTTTCATATACGGACGATACATCAGTTTTGACACAACGGTAGGTACCAAAGAAAATGAATAACTACAAAAACACTGCTTTCAAATAAAACAATAATGACATTATGGACTATTAGAGAAATAGTTAATTTCCTAGAAACATATTGTTGTGTTTACAGACAAAGTTTCATTGGCCCCATCAAAATACTATTATTATTTTGGCTAGAAGAAGATACATAAACGATAAGATTGAGGTAGATAAAATCTTAGTAGTACTATCTTGATTCCCATATGGGACCTATGTTGTTCTTTAACATCCATCCAGTACCAATTACCCATCAGAGAAGACACTTGATCAACCTTATCATACAACCAAAGATGCCCACCAGAGTGTATGAGCAATATCTTCTTTCTCTCCCAACTTATCGGATCCTTAGTCATCTCAGACTCATTTATCTAACCGGAGGTAGTTTTCCCCTTGAATAAGCACTAGAAAACCCAACTGTCAAGCTCCCTATATGTTATGATGTTAGTCACGACTTTTAAAATTACTAGAAACAAGGAAGTAACTAGAAAAACTAACATGTACCTGTAAACAGTCAAGAATAACACTAGTTGCACTTGCTACTTCCTTTACAAACTTTAGCTCCTCTGAAGTTGTTCATTGAATAATCCTTTTATTTTTGCTTGCAAAAGTGCAAAACGCAATAATCAATAGCAAAACCTCTCTATACTTAGGAAGAAGCATTTCCCATCTGATTTTGTTTGCTAGGGATCCAAGAAAATTTCAACATAAACATTGACATGAAGTCTAGCCTCTGTGCAACACATAGAAACCGTAAAAGCTTTTCACATTCATCTTGGTGGATGTTAACAATAACGTCACTTGTTCTTCTCCCAAGTCCCAAGCTCGAAGGCTACTCTTGTCTCTTATGAGAGTGTCAATCCTCGTCTCTTCATAGGGGCCTCGACCCATTTCACTTTAATTAAAAAAATAATACTTCAATATATACAACCAAAAAATAGCCACTCACACAATTACACAATGATTCACACTCTTTTTACATATAAACATGGGCAAGCATTTACAAGAACCTAAAGTCAATTTTTGTTGCATGCAAACAGAGTCTTCACACTAAGAACTTAAGACTCATTAGATACAAAGACGAGCCTTGAGGTAACAGAACAAGAAGTCAAATCAACCAAGCTTGTAATAACCTTTCACAGAACCTAGTCTATCGGATCACAACTCATAACCCCTGACTCTGCTCCTTCACGGCTCTTGCAGCAGCGCTGTACCATGCGGCTGCAGCCATTGCGCCCGGATCAGGAATTGATGCAAGAATCTCAGCTGACACATAGCTTGACCTCCCGGCCTGTACTCCATTTCCAAACCATCAGATCACATAAAAATAAATTACACATCCAGCTCGATAAAACTCACCTGTGCTTGCATCTGAATGGTCGATTCAGCTCCTGCAGTTGCTGCTTCAGCAGACAGAACAAAAGCAGAAACAGGGTCCTCTCCAACACTCAGTTTCTGCTCACAAATCACAGCAAAGCTCATTAGTACTAATATCCATCTTTAATAAAGAAGTAAACTATTAATCCGTCACCTCCTCAAGGACTTTTGAAGCTGGGATGAGAGCATCTAACATCGTTCTATAACCTGCACTTGCTCCACCATATTTACTGACAGCAGAGATTGATGACTTGAGTGCATCAGACCCTGATTTCAAGAGGAAATCAAACTCAAATGCCAACATGTGCCTTTTGGAAACAAGTAATGACACTGCAAGAAACGTTCTCTTACAGTTTTTGGGAGTTACTTCTGACTGAGCGTTAGCTTTTAACTCAGCGTAAGCTGCCTTGCAGAGGAGACTGTAACTGTTTTTCACATGACACATATCAGTAGATGCCAAAACCATGACCATTTTTGTACGAAAGAAACTTTCCAAAAATGTAAATTGATCTACATTATTCCACTCGTTCCCCCCATGACTCTTCTGATCGATGAACCAATCTCATTCACTGTTTCAGCAGCATCATTGAGCGGATAGCTAGCAAATAGAGGTACAGAGAGATCAGTCTGTAGTAAGTAAGAAATCACGCAAATATAGGGGTACAAGAAGTAAAGTGGCTCACTAATTCTTCATGTCCTCCAGAATAGCTTTTGCGCCTCTGCACATCTACGAAAGGCGAAGGGTGCATAAGTTTTTTATAAAATGTACAATGCAAAGAAATTTCTGAGACTTACTGTTGATCCACAGTCCCCGTCTCCTACTTTTCCATCCCATTCGTTCAAACTATCTTTCAAACTAATGACCACAGTTGCTGCTGCTTTAATAGCTGCCTCAAGAATTCGACCTTGTTGACTAAGTTCTTGAGGTCGGCCTAGAGACTAATATCAAGTAACCATTATCAAATGGCAAGTTTATATGAAACAGAGATGTATTATCACATCTCATTGAAGCCAAAAACACTTACCTCTTCTTTTTTGTTTTGTAGGAAGGGAGGCAGTGGAACGGGGATCTTTGCTGGTGGGCGGTTCCCTGTAGATAGAGAGATTTAACTTGAAATTGAAATGAAATAAGACAAGAAACCACAAAGGCATAACCAAATAATTATACAGAATGAATTATTTCCAATCTAATACAAGTTCTAATAGAAAAACATCAAAGGAACTACATCTCACAAACCATCTGTGCCAGCTGGCCAACTAGGTGCCTTTGTCGGAGCATCCAAACGCTCTAAAATTGACTGGTCAGCTTTCATGATTGATATCGAGAAACCTGATAAGGGAAGGAGCATAAGAGAACAGCACAACACCAATGCCTCTACACAGACAACAAAGGAAAAAAACAATCACCTGCCATATCAAGAGATGACATAAATGATCCAGTATACACTCTATCAACGGCAAGTCCAAATTCCAACTGTAGTTTAGGGATTGCTTTTCCAGCAGCAATCATAAGTTCCATTAGAGGGGTACCACCTAAGCTGCACAACAACATGAAAAAATGTAAAATAATAAGATAAATCAAACTCTTTTGGACCATTAGGAAGATGGAATATGAAGGCTTACCCATTAACCATCAGAACCACACTGTTACCACGTGTAATCGGAACATAGTTAGTCTCCTGCAGTTAGAACAAATGAATCAAGATACATGTATCTTTTTAGTTCTAATATCTTAAAGATAGCAAGTCATAACAGCATGATAGTAATGGGAAGAAGAAAAAAAGGAATAATGCACATACTGGACTTAATATCTGTTGAAGAACATGGGAGACTACAACATCCACAGGTTGAATGTCAACCACAGCAGCACCAGGTTCGCCATGCTGAAAGTTTAGGATAACAAGAAAAAAGAAAAGTCAAATCTAGACGAACCAGCAACGAGCGCTATCTCTTTTCTATGGGTTAAAAGAATATAACAAGGAATACAACGTACAACACCAAGCCCAAGTTCCATTTTCTCTGGACCCAAACGATCTGATGTAGCCTGTCCCGGAAGCGAACAAACCGTTAGCGCAACTCCCATTGTCCCAACCATCTCAGAAGCATGCTTTGCTTCTGCCGCCACTTCTGCTAAAGAAAGACCAGCAGCTGCTGCTGCTCCAGCAACCTATCCTTAACCAATAACAATAAGAATGAGTAGAGTAACCATATACATAAATGAAAAAAAACTTCCAAAAGGCTTAGAGTGCAAGATAGAGGGAAAGCAAAGAGGAAGGAAGAGCGAGAACCTTATGGACAAGAACTGTTCCAGCTAAACCTCTGCGTCCAGCTATACCACGCGGCGGTGGGAGAGCACAGTCATCTCCAACAATCACAGTCTACAAAAAACCGATCATGTCATTTCATCCACTAATAACGCACTCACTAAATTCTAAAACAACAAACAGAGAGTTACCTCTACTTTGAAACCCTCAGTTTTAGCTAGCTCAGCTGCTAGGCCAAAGTTCAAACGGTCACCAGTATAGTTCTGTCAAAAACAGTCAGGAATCAGCTAAACAAATGGAAAGCTAGAAATCCATAGCTTATTGATATGTACCGTGACAACCAATAAGCATCCCATTGGACCAGTTACAGCCCGAATCCCCTGGAGTTAATACAAAAACTTCACCACTCACTTGAAAGCCTGAAGAAAAGACAAAAAAAAAAAAACTTTGAGGGAGAGACTTACAGCTAGGATGGAATCAACCGGTGGTGAAGCAAAGACATCACCGCAAATAGCTGCGGTTAGCATTCCTTCTCCCACGTATCCAGCTTGTGCTGGTTCATGCCCACTTCCCCCTCCTGTTACAAAATAGCAAAACTCAACTCAACTAAACAGAAACAAGGTTTGAACCAAAAAAAAAAACTCAACATACCTGATATAACAGCAACCTTGTCATAATCAGCAGCCGAGACATCAGCTCGTAGGACGACCTTGACCTGTGAATCACATTCTAATAAGTCAGAAATCAGCTGAGGCTTCGCACAAACAATAACAAAAAAAAAAAGAAAAGGAAAGATCTTTTTAATAAACCTCAGGAAGGCCATCCAAGTACTGAAGACCAGGATAAGTTTCGACCAAACCCTCGATGAACTCTGTTACTACATCTGCAAATTTTCACAGTAACGAAAGAAAGAGCTTATGATCATCCTCTCTTAAACTGATATGTCAAGAGATACAGTAACGCATTTGTGCATATTAGATAACGCCATCCGAAAAAACAGATACAGTGCTTAAGCGCCGGAAATAGAGAGTTCACGATTTCAAAAACAGTGGAACATAAAAAAAAAGGAGAAGGAAGAAGGAAGGAGACGAATGAGCACGAACCGTTGGGGTTGTTGATGAATTTCTTAGCTGGAGGAGCCATGGTGCTTAGCTGTCAAGAGAAAGAAAGAAGTAAATGATTGAAGCTTTGATAGTCAACAATGGCAGTGAAGAGAAAGTGGGCAGAACGAAGAGGAAGAAGCTCAACCGAAATAAACCGACAAATTGGAGAGACTCAACCCAACTAAACCGAAAATAAATACCAAATCTGGAGAAACTCAACCACTAAACGGAGATGAATCTAAAACAAACCGTAAACTAAACCGAATAGTTGGAGAAACTCAACCGATATAAACCGAAAGTTAACATATTGAATTAAACAAATGTTGGGCCGGACTTGAGCCCAGCAAATAAAACAAATGACTTAATTAGTAAGAAAAAAACACGTGTTCCTCCTCGTACGCGGTTCGGTTCGTCTATAACTATTCTTTATTTTACTTCGCACGTAACAGAAGAAGACAAGGAGAGATCCAGAAGAAGTAAAAGGATGGCTTTGCAATGGCTGATTCTGTCGTACGTGGTGGCCGCCGAAGTAGTAATCGCCGTGGTGTTGACTTTACCTTATCCTATGCTAGTGAAGAAACGCGTCGTGTCACTTGTCTCTCTCATTCTCCAACCTGCTGCTTCCATCGCCGCCTTTCAGCTCTGCGGTGACCACATCATCTCTCTCTCTTCAATCGATTCTTATTTTCCTGTTTTATAATTTTTAATCGAATTGGTGCTTCTTAGTTAGTTTTTTGATCCATAAGTGATGTCATTTTGTTTACTCTGTTTTCAGATATATACTGGAAGAATGAACATAGACTCTCTTGCTCATCTGATGTATGCACTGCTACAGAGCGTGATCGTTACGAGAAATCTGTAAGTTTTTATTGCAGAATGTAGATAAGTTATCACCAATGTTTGCGTTGTACACTTTGATTCTGTTTCTGAAACTCTTTGAATAGTGAAATTTTTTAGTCTGAGAGTTTGGTCCTGTCTTGTTTTGATCTAAATATTCAAGTTTTTAAGTAATATCTCTGAGATTTGGCTAAGGAGATATTTATTACTCTCTCACCAGCAGGTGGATTAATTTTGCATGATGTGGGTATTGTCCTAAGGCCTTGCGAGTCCAAAATCTCCTAGTCATTCAAATAAGTATTACTACTTTCTCAAAAGATGAATTTGTTTTAGTTAGGTCTCCAATTGGTGTGCACATTATTATCTCTTTATAAATCATAACTTTGTCAAATAGCAACATAGGTTTAGTTCAGTTTATACAATGTTCTTTGTTGTCAAATTATTTTTGGTAACGCTTCATTATCTATAATCTCAAGTTCTATCAAACTCTCGGATAGTTAACTCATTCCTTTCTTTCATTTGAAATGCCCCAGATTGCTTACTGACGGTTTTGTGTGTTGAACCACAGATCTACAAGTCTCAGAGGAATGTTGTTCTGTGTGCTGCAGGAATTCTTCTCTACTGGTAAACATCATCACCTATTATCAGTCACATTCTCAGTGTAATTTTACTAATATCTATCTCTTGTACAGGTGCATTTACCGTATCTGCAAGTACAACAAGGACCTGGAGCGTTTGCAAGAAGCAGACAAGAGGCACAAGGAAGAGTGATCTACTCGAGTATACAGACTTGGTTCCTCAAAACTATATAAGTAAAGTCTTCTATTGTTTTCTTACATCTAATACCACTAAACCTGAAGAAAACAGTGAGTATCAAGAACAGTTTGCAGATAATATATATCTATTACATCATCAGTGGTCAATGCTTATTTCATTCCTCTCTAACATTCTCGATAATCATTTCAAGAACAGTCTCAATCTATTTTCCATAAACCATATTAATCTTGAAACTTGTGCGAACCTATTGATACAGTTCCTTCAGGAGTTTTCTCTTATGATTTCCTCTTTCATATGATAAAAGAGCTTAATGAAGATAACTAAACTAGATTGAAGATGAAAAGATAAAAGACATTCATAACTTCTGGGACTATTTAGGTTCTAAAACTGTGGGAACTAAAACTGTAAGGTTTAGGGGTTGATTGGTAGAGCATTAACATAAACATTGTTTTCTATTATCCAATCAACATTTGTCATAGAAGCATTTAGAAAAACATTTACCAAATGCAAATGCTCTTTTCTCAATGCTTAATATTTTTTACTTTGAATTCTATTTTTTTTAAAGTCCATTCTTATTTCTTTTTATCTTAGTTAAATTTAACGTTTAACCGTTTTTTTTTTGATGTGTTTTGTTTGTATACTGTGTCAATCTCGTTCTCAGATTATCTTTATATATTTAATTTTTCTTAACCAAAAATCTTTATTTAGTTGTTATCATATCTTTTTTTCTTGTATTTGTTTGTAGAAAAACACATTTTCATTTTTGTTGGTGGTTGATCTTTTTTTTTCTAGTATTGTTGTGGAACGAATTTTTTAGATATGTTTTTTTATAATATTTTTGTTTTGTCCCTTTTAATTCATATATATGTTTAAAATATGGGAAACTCATAATATATATATATATATATATATATATATATATATATATATTTGTAAATATATTATGTCTTTTTAACCCGTATTGCAAATTTTGATTTTAGGAATTTCACATGAAACAAAAAGGACAATTCTCGCAAATAGCCTTATTTAAGTTTTTATCACAAAATAGACCTCGAAAATTAAAATGACTAAAATAGCACTTTTTAATTTGAAAATTATATTTTCTTTCAATTTTTTTAAAATTTGAAACCTTATTCCCAAAATCCCACTCCTCAATCTAAACAAAAAAATCTATGATTAGTTAACCCAAAGGGTATAAATGTATATTTAATAAAAATTTAAGTATTATTTTGGTCATTTTAATTGTTAAGGTCGATATTTATGACAAAAACTTTTTTAGGTCTATCCTAATCATTTTTCATCAAAAAAGTTGCACGTAAAATGAATAGTGTTAAGAAATGAAGATGGTGGTTGGGACATATCCGGAAATGGACCAGACCACATCAGTACCATACCAGGCGGCCAAGCATCAGTCACTATCCTCCCTTGTATTTATCCATATGTTGTAGTTATCCTAATCATTATAGGATTAGGATAATCATCCCCTTTATTGTTGTAATCCTTATCTCCTAAGGAATATGCTTAT